AACCCCACTCCCAAAAACAAAGTTGTCTTTACATGGTGATTATTGGAATCAAATGTGATCATGTTTGTGTCTATAAAGTATAAAATACAATAATAAATAGTATGATCATCCTGATTGTGGCCATTCCTCCTGCTGCAGCAGAAAGGATCTGCTTCCCTCCTCGATGACTCTTTCCTAAGCGTACACACTTGCCACTGCTTGTCCCCTCCAGCCTTCTTTCAGTGATACATTCTCCCAGCTGCCTTCTGCTCAACTTGCTACAGATAAACAAACCAACTTCAATTCATTAAGATTGGTAATTTGTAAAATAAGATGAAAATGTTCTATTTTACCAACAGTCAAAGAAATACAAGTTGACCTACATATGATGTTGAAAAGATTGATAATACCCAGGGTGATAGGAGCATGGAAAAAGATTTAAAAACTAGTTTACCCTTTCTGGTGGAACATTTGAAGGCATATATTAGGAGTCATAAACATGAGCATAACTTTTACTCAAGAGCCTAACTTCTGGAAAATTATACTTTGGAAAAAGATTTATAAACTAGTTTACCCTTTCTGGTGGAACATTTTTGAAGGCATATAGTAAGAGTCTTAAACATGAGCATAACTTTTACTCAAGAGTCTAACTTCTGGAAAATTATACTTTGGAAATAGTTTCAAGGTATGTGCAAAGATATAGCAATAGCATTTTTATGATAGGAAAAATTAGAAACCAAATGTCCATCACCTAGAAATTTGCCAAATATCTTTTGTAATAGCGTAGATATTTATGATTTCTTTTGCAGACTCATTTGGAAACTTTTTCCTGTAGACCACTGGGGCTAAGGGCATGATTCTTGAAGTTAGACACATTCCTCTGTAGTTACAAATAATGTTGTATATTAATATTTAGTGACATGGGAATATGGTAATATATCAGTAAGTGAGACTATCAGGTTACAAAATAGTATCACTCTGTTTTTATTAGAAGTTCAGGGGCTTCAGAAAGTTCATGGGAAAATTCTACTATCTTTTGATTTCCACGACCTTTTTGAAGCCTCGGAGTCCTAGTGTGGTGCTGTTGGTTAATGCTCCAGACTGCAAAGCTGTTTGAACTGCAAGGTTGGCAGTTCAAGCTCACCAGCTGTTCCTCGGAAACCCTATGCAGGGTCGATATGGGTCGGGAGCTACTCGACAGCACTTAACAGCAACAATACACACAGATATATATAAATATACAGACATGCACACCATGTAACCTGTTTATCACTTATCAACTACTTCCTACCCGACATTTCACATTTATGATCATAGTATAACAATTCTACTATTCTACACTTTGATGACACATGTCTGGCAGTATTAAACACTACAAGACGAGAGTAATGCTGGCTGTCATGGCTAAGGTTATGTGTCAACTTGACTGGACCATGCTACTCAATGTCTTGACAGTTATCTAATTATGCAATTTGACAGTTATATAATTACATAAATTGACAGTAATGTAATGATATAGTCATCCTGTATTTTGTGATCTGACATGGTCATCCTCCATTTTCTCATAATGCTGGTTTTCACATAATGACCTGGTCTTTGGAATCTAAATATGTCAAAAAGTGAGAGTGAGTGTGTATATGTCTGGAGTGTATATATGATTTATGCATGTTTGTATGTGAGTGTGTGTGTGTGTGTGTGCGTGAATTTATCTCAGAAAAAAATACGAAATAATACATTTGAAATTCTAAGAATGCTATTGCTTGATATTTGAATTGCAGGGGATCTTTTTTTTCTTTCTTTTTAATCTCTCAATTTTCTAATTTGCCTACATTGAACAGTAATGAACTTGTGTAATAAAGAGTAAATAAACTGAAAGGAGAGGAGACTGGGACTAGTCTGTTCCAGCTGTGGTGGATCTTTTCCTAGGTGAAGTTTGCCAGGGATTCTGGCTCTGATGGGCACAGTGTTAGTTCCCGGGATTCTGCGGCCCCTTCTCCCACACCTGGTGCTGACAGCCTCGCTACTGATCCTGCTGTGTCACCGCCCACATCGGTGCCTTTCAAACCAGGGTAAGCTCTGAGTGATTTTTAGAAGTGGTCAAAAATAGGGATAGAGTTGAAAACTAAAATAATTTTAAATAACCCAAAAACAAAAAAAAAAAAGGATGAAAGAAATGGAGAAATACTAACATCAGATTTCCTTACAAAGGCTTATTTATTCATAGTCTATAAAAGTACTAACTCAGAGTTAGAAGAATACTAACAAAACAGGAAGAGTAATAATTAGACAGTGGTAGTATAAATACAAAATACACAAGGGGGCTTTGAAAACTTCACGGGAAATGGAATGAAAAAATAATGGAATTTCCCCGCAAACTTTTTGAAGCCCCCTTGTATATCCAAGAAACAATATGTCAGTAAGCATTTGGCTAGAAAATCACTCATCCTTACTAGCACTCAAAAAGTGTGAATGCTAACAAAATAGTTAAACTTCTGTATAATAGCCATTAAATTGACAAATATTTTCAAAACCCCTTTGTTTATCCAGTTTAGTTTGGGTTTGTGATTGTGGGCTATGTTTTTCTTTCTTTTAGGGAGCCAATTCTTCGTCCTAAATCCAACTCCTCCAATGAACAACTTACAATAAATCCAGTAAGTATAAAAGTTTATTTCCCCAGCCCTAGTGTGCTGAGGTTTCATCTGCTTAAGGTTGTTGTCCTCAGTTGCTGCCAAGTCTGTTCCAGCTCATTACAGAGGAGAAGCGCTCCACAGAGTTTTCGTGACTGTAACCTTAACAGAAGACGATCACTAGGGCTTTTTTTCCCCATAGTACTGCTGGGTAGGTTCAAACTGCCAGCTGAGTGTTGATAACTATTGATTTAGACTAATAATCAGTCATTTATTTCTTCTTCTTCTTCTTGTTTAGTGCTGTTGTGTTAGTTTTGACTCATAGTGACCCTGTATAGGGTTTCTGAGGAGTAACTGTGATTAACAGTCCAGTGCTTATCCTACAGTGTCATATCAGGACTCCCTTACTTGGGAGCTAATGTAAGTTTACCTGGGCTTATACGTAAACAGACCAGAGTTCACATCATTATTCTTATAAACTATATGGCCTTGTACTACCAATCCCTATAAACAAGCTTGAAATCTTATGGTTGTAGCTTAAAAATAGAAATTATGATAATTGCTTTCAATATCTAGTTGATCAACTTGTATAGCGTGTGGAGTATGTACTCGCCACTCTGAAGATTAGACTATGCCTTAGATCAGTTAATGAATACCGAACCTCTAGCACAAGGTTTAATGTGTAATCAGTGCTAGGTCAGTTAAATGGACTTGAATTTAGAACAATAAGCGCCTGTTTTTTTCTCTTTGGAATGTTTTATCTACTGAATTGCTTTCATGCCTTTCAGAAGGTTTATTGTTGTTAAGTGCTGTTGAATCAGTTCTGACTCACAGTGACCCAGTACAGGGTTTCCAAGGAGTGGCTGGTGAGTGTGATCCGCTGACCTTATGGTTCAAGCTGCCCTTGCAGTCCTGCACTTAGCCTACAGCGCCACACCAGGACTCCAGTCTAGTTCTTTCAGAAGGTTGTAGTTGTTGTTAAGTGCCATCGAGTTGGTTCCAACTTATAGCTACCCTGTATAGGGTTTCTGAGGAGCGGCTGGTGAGCTTGAACCACTGACCTTGCGGTTCAACCCTACTTTGCAGTCCAGTGCTTTAACCTGCAGCATCACACCAGTGCCTGTAGTGCCATCTAAAATGTACCCTTCTCTAAGTTTTTGTTTGTTTGTTTCGAGCAATGATAAGCTTAGAAAAATTATGTAGAAAGTAGAATGCTCATCTAGCCCTCCCCCTTTGCACATCATTTCTCCTATTAACATGTTGTATTTCTGTTAGACCATAGATTTTCATCTGTGTGATATGAAGTATAATATGAAACCACTTTGCCCAATCGAATTATTTGTACTACTATTATTAACTGTGATGCATGTATACTTCTAGCCAAAAAAATCTTTGATTCTCGTTTTCTTGAAAAAATGGATTTAAGTAGATATAGCAGGGGAACTTATTGCAAGATTTGATGGAAGAGCCAAAGGGATAAAACTTCTGAAGGCAATGAACATGACTTACAGTGATTTCTGTGACTGTCTTCTCTTTTTAGAATCCTGATACAGTCAAGGCCAAGTTGATCTCTCGGATGGCCAAAATGGGTCAGCCCATGCTGCCCATCCTTCCGCCTCAGCTGGATTCCAGTGATTCAGATATCGAAGTATGTTTCCCTGGCTATATTAGAATGAATAATGCAAATGGTGCCATCTTCTGTTCCTTTGGCTCTTTCCACCTCTAATCCAGAATCGTTATTTTGCGAGTTTATATTCAAAATGATGCAAGTTGGTATTGGAACATGTGTTTTTCTACCATTGATCAGCACTTCTGAGAAAGGGATGCAATTCCATTTATTTATTATAAACACTGTTGTTGTGGTTAAGTGCCATTTAGCCAGTTCCAACTGCTGGTGACCCTGTTACAAGAATCCTGAAGATTCACTGGTGAGTTTGAACCTCCAACCTTGCAGTTCAAACCAACCTGTGATTCAGTGCTTACTCTACAGTGCCACACTGGACTCTATTATAAACATTAAGAAGTTTATTGTTAATGTAATCATTTACTGGAATCTATAATGTCAGACCTCTGGTAGCGTGGTGGTTACGAATCAGGCTGCGAACCTCAGGGCCAGCAGTTCGAAACTACCAGCTGTTTCACGGGAGAAAGATGAGGCTTTCTGCTCCTGTAAAGATTTACAGCCTCAGAAACCCTGTACAGGGTTGCTATGACTCGGAACCGACTCCACAGCACATAACAACAACAAATAATGTCAGAAAAGACCACTTTTTAGACAGCAGCATAATGCCCTACCCATAGTTGAAGATTAGTTAATATAAAATGGATAATATTCTTAGAAATAAGAAAACTTTACTATAGAATTTAAGTTGTACTTATTGATTACAGAATAACAAATTATAAAGAAGAAGCATATTTCACAAAAAGAGCATGCCTTTTTTTCCCCCTTTAGCATTAATGTCTTTGTAAGCATGGTACATTTGGAAAAGCTAAGAAATTAACATTGGTACATATTTACTAAACTGCAGACTTTCTTTGCATTTCATTATTTTTTCTACTAATGGAGCATTCCTCTTTATATACTATTTGTAACCTGATGCTTTAATATTACCTCATGAATATATACATTACTATAAATATCTCTGCATTAGTACCTTTAAAGATAGTCTAGTATTCTATTATATTGATTTATCATAATTTTCCACTCTATTTTTAGACATTTTCAACTCCTGGTATGGCTCTGTAGAAGCAGCCATAGACTGTGAACCACAAGGTGAACAGTTCAAACCTACCAGCTGCTCCTCAGAAAGCCTATACAGGGTCACTATGAGTTGGAACCAACTTGATAGTACTCAGCAGCCATACCATTTTTAGACATGTACGTTGATTTAGATGTGTAGTGATCTAAAACTGGAATATCAATGGATGAGGGGATGTTCTAAAGTAAAAGTACACATCCCTGGAACCATGAAGAGAAGAGCAGAGAGCGAAACCCTACCCAGAGAGGCAGCTATCCCCAAGATGGAGCCAGAAATGATGACATGGAGAGATGGAACAGCTGGGGACTCTGGACCCAGGGAGGAAGAGGGGCTGTGTGCTATAACTGGGGGTGGGGGTGGGGGGAAGCAGGCTTATAGGATGTACCCTTTCGTTGATTGGTGATGCGTGGAGGGGATTGTAACCATGGCAGTGTAGCAATATACGATAGGATGAATGTAAAACTGATGTTCTCCCATGTAAACTTTCACATAATTCACAATAAAACTTTAAAAAAGTAAATAAATAAATAAAGTAAAAGTACACAAAGAGTTTTCAGCTCTTGAACTATGAAAAGCCCACTGCCATCAATTCGATTCTGACTCCTAGTGACCCTGTAGGACGGAGTAGGGAGGCCCCATAGGGTTTCCAAGGCTGTTACAGCTTCCTTCTGTGGAGTGGGGAGTGGGTCCAAACTGTCAACCAAGGGCTGAATGATTGGTTCAAGAGGACTCGTTCCATGAAGTATTACAACAGATCACAATCTCTGCATATTGTATTGTTCCTTGTTTGAACTAGGAAGGTGTTTGTAGGGTAATTTTGCTTAGAGTTATAGTGAAGACCAACATAGCTTTGATTTTATGAAAGAAAAGAATGAAAGGTGGAAACTCAAACTATATTACTCAAAAACAGTGTGCTAATGTGGTTTTCATTGAGTACCTTGAGGCCTATGGAGATTAATTGGTAGAAGAGAGGAAACTGGATCATTCCCTAGGTTTCCTTGAAGGATTCCCACTTCTATGGGGACACACTAGATCAGTCTTAAGGTATCTGCTAGTTTGGCAAATGGTAAATTCTGGAGAGCCATTGGGTTAACTGCTTCATATCATAAAGCCATTTACAACTGATAATGTTTGAGGAAAATAACTATATGTAGATATTTAATGCAATTTAAAAGGAGAAGGAATTTGGTGCTATAGAATAAAGGTTATTTTCCCCCACAGTCCACACCCTAAGCTCATGGTTTTCTGTTTGCCTTTCTTTCTTCCTCTTTGCCTAGAAAGCCTGTGTGGTAAGTTGTCTTTGGCTGGACAGTAAGGTTCAAACTTCAGTTAAGACTGATAGAGTAACCAAAACACGTGCTCTGTTTTAGGATGTGAATGCTCTGCGAGCAGCTGGGCAGCCCATGGTGACTCCGTCAGTCCAGCCCTCTCTTCCGGTAGCCCATTCAGTGGTACCGCAGATGACCTCACAAGGTAAGGAGGCTCTCTCAGACTCTGGGGACTTCAATTGGAGCAGCACCAAGATTATCATCACTGTTCCTTGAATTGTTAGGTTGTATTGTTTTAGTACTAAGAATCAGACTAATGTAAAGCTTGTCAGTGTCCTAGGTAGAGCATTTTCAGACCTGGAGATGCATTTGGTTTGCTTGTATATCTTTAGCTATGTTGTAGTGTCAGTTTTGGAAATCTGCACTCAGCTAATCTTCTTGTGTGCTATTCTGCACTTCCTGTCAGCCACACCATTAATGGGACCATAGGTTTGAGCCACATGCACATGAGAACACCCAGTTTCCTTCCATTCTCCCATTGCTGAGACTCCAGTAGAGTTGCCTTTGGGAAACTAGATGAGGAAAGTGATCATGTCTGAAGTGTGACCACATGTACTGAAGAGAAGCAAGGGTTGGGTAACAGTGAAAACGTCTTGCTTTATCTTAGTGCCTCAGCCTTCTGTTTCTGGGCTCCAAACACCATCTGCTGCCTTAATGCAAGTTGCGTCTCTCGATTCCCACTCAGCTGTATCTGGAAATGCCCAATCCTTTCAGGTAACATTTAAAAACCATATTAATTATAACTTATAATTATTATGGTTTTAGTGCTTTTTCTTCTTACTGCCCAATTCACACAGTTGTGGTTGTTAAGTGCTGTTGAGTAGGATGCAACACATAGGGACCCTGTATAGGATTTCTGAGGAGCAGCTGGTGGGTTTGAACTGCTGACCTTGTGGTTCAAACCAACTTTGCGGTCCAGTGCTTATCCTACAGCGCCCCACCAGGACTTCTCAAGGGAGAGTAACCACAATTATATCTTTTCATGATGTCTAATCCTTACTGAGCATTTACTACCTGCCAGGCACTTAACTTGCCAGCCATTAGGAGATTTCCTTTATCATTTAATTTCATCTGTATAGCAACCCTATGGGGGGGGTATTATTATTTTCATTCAATAATTGAGGGGACTGAGGGTCAGAGCAAAATGAAGCACTTGGCCACAGAGATAAGTGTCAGAGAGACCATCGAAATTTTGGAGACTGGCAGATTTCGTTTGGAATCTCATTGAATACCTCTTCTCTTACCTCAGTGCTAAGCAAGTGTTTGCTTAGTTGCAAAATATTCTAGAAATTCAGTTGGCCTGATAGCTGGGAGTTGAATTCCTACCTATGTATAGCCAGAGTACGGGACAGTGACTCGAGATAGAGTTCCCTTGACTTTTGAGTAGGAGCTCAGTGCCTGGGAACCACTGGGTCATATAGAGAAGTCTCCTACTGCAGTTGTAACACAATTGAAACTCCTGACCTCATCCTGCTCTAGTTGCAATAAGTTTGAGTCCTCTCCCAGCTAATCTTATATAGTCCACCAAGGAAAACTATAAGCATAAGAGAGAAACATGAATGTATTATAAACTAGCTGTGATTTGGAGTTTTCTCAGCCCTATGCAGGTATGCAAGCCTGTACCTATCCCCAGGCTTCCCCTGTCTCGTCCCAGCTGCAGCCTGTTCGGCCCATGTATCCAGCAGTACTGTCTCAGTCTCACCATTTTCAAGGTAAGGAACAATCGTCTCAACTTCTCATCTTCCACTTTTGCTATGTTCTCCTTTCTCCCTCCTTTAAAAAAATTTTCCGCCAGTAGCTCTCTACCCTTGTTTTTATCTTTATTTTTTTAAACAGCTTTGTTGGGGTATAACTTATATAACACAAAATCCACTTACTTTAAGAGTACATTTCACGGAGTTTTTTTTTGTTTGTGTTTTTAAAGTAAATTTACAGAGTTATGTAGTCATCACCACTATCTAATTTTAAAATATTCCCATCATCCCCCCAAAAAAATCCCTCATGCCCACTTAGGACATAGTCTCAGGGAACATCTAGGTCAGTTAGTAGAACACAGTCCATAGAGACAATGTTCTCTGTCCTACTTTGGTGAGTACAACTAGAGTCTCAGAAGCTTATGAGCAAAAGGATATACTGCATTGGTTTCCATTATCTTCTGTTCAGGGACAAATTTACACAACATGGTGTGTTGTGTAAAAAAAAATAAAAAATATATATATATACACATACACATACACATATAAGCAAATTGGGATGATATCCCAAAAAGGCAAACAGCCTTTTTTCAGAATCCCCTTTGGACAGTGGGAGGAAGAAGCAAGTCTACTTTACAACATACTAGTTCTAGAGTGGTAAGAGTTTCCTAGATGCAGCTTTTCTGAGTGCTAGCCCCACTTCTCCATCTAGGAAGCCCTTTTCTTCCATCAAAACTGTCATCTTCTGTTTGTAACCATCCCTGACTTTTATTTCTCCCTGCCTTCTCTCTTTCTAGAGATGTAACTGTGTTTGTGTCTCATCAAAGAGTTAATCTTGCTATTGTTTGTGCTACTTTTATACCTTGTACATAGGCCATTTTAAGTTTAAAACACTGTTGTAATGATCTGTTTATATGTTAGTCTCCTCACCAGACTGTGAGTTCACCAAGTGCCAGAACCATTGTTGTATCCCCTGGTACCTGCAATCATATCTGACATGCAGTTGAATGAATGAAAAGCTATCTGAGTTGCCAGAGCTGTGACAGTCCAAGAAGCACATACTTGTGCCCTGGGCCCAGTTGTAGCCCTTGATGCATTTTGTAGAAACATAACTTATTGTGTGCTTTGGGACTTTTTTTTTTTTATCCTCTACTGTCTCTTTTACATCTCCTGACAGCATAGTGAAATCACCTACAGCATTTCATGGTATGCTCATTTCTTTCTTTCCTCTGCTGAAAGAGCTACTGACTTCTCCTTATATTGACTCCTGTATTCAAGTATCATAACTTTCTTTATGGCTTTATGTTTGTTTAGGTTCAGGTGACATGACTTCATTTCTCATGACAGAAGCCCGGCAACATAACACTGAAATTCGAATGGCAGTCAGCAAAGTGGCCGATAAAATGGATCATCTCATGACCAAGGTGACTGAGTCAGGGTCGGGGTTGTGCCGAAATTGAGAGTATAAAAAGAGGATACAAACAGGGAGTAAGAAGAACTATAGGTAAACTCTTCCTTGACTTTCTGTATTCAGTGGTAGTGGTGGTGGTTTTGTACCACTGAGTAGGTTCTGACTCATAGTGACCCTATATAGAGTTTCTGAGACTTTAAATCTTCTCGGGAACAAAAAAACCTCATCTTTCTCCCATGATATAGCTGGTGGGCTCAAACCATGGACCTTGTGGTCCATAGTTCAGTATTTCTCATTTTAGCCATTACGCTCCAGTATTCATTGTTGTTGTTGTTGTTAAGTGCTGTTGAGTTGGTTCCAACTCTTAGTGACCCTATGTAGGGTTTCCAAGAAGTGGTTGGTGGGTTTGAATCACTGACTTTGTTCCCTGTAGTTAGCAGTTATTTTTTGTGCCAATAGTTGTTATTGTTGTTGTTAGGTGCCAGTGAGTTGGTACCAACTTATAGCAACCATGTGCACAACAGAACGAAACACTGTCCGGTCCTGGGCCTACCTCAGTTTGACCATCCTGTCCTCCAAGGAGCACTGTGTCTATACTTTTTCCAACACAGATCTGTTGGTTCTTTTGGCAGTCCATGGCACTTTCAATATTCTCCAACACAATAATTCAGAAGCATCAATTCTTCTATGGTCTTCCTTATTCACTGCCCAGCTTTCCCATGCATATGAGGTTATTGAAAATACTGTGTTCCAGTAGTAGTTAGTTGTTATTTCTCTAGAATGATAGTTATCATTATTTTGGGAAAGGTCCTAAAATAATGAAAGCTAGCTTACATTCAGAGTTTGTCTCAGAAACTCATTGGCCCCTTGACAAAGGTAGTCAGGTTTGAGTAAATCATCTTCCTCGGTTTTAAAATTTCTCCTATCATGCTTTCTGGCATCCCTTTTGTAGGTTGAGGAGTTACAGAAGCACAGTGCTGCCAATTCCCTGCTCATTCCTAGCATGTCAGTCACAATGGAAACCAGCATGATCATGAGCAACATTCAGCGAATCATTCAGGTGAGGGCGATCAAGGACAGAACATTCAGTCTGAGGCCTTCCCTGTGTTCTTCCCCCAGATGTCCTACCCTTTCAAACCTCTACCCCTAAAGTGAGCACTTATAATGCATGGGGGCGAGAAAGTTCTGGAAAATCCAAAATGGCTTAATTTGGTCAAAGTGACTTCTCACTACCTATACTGTCAGAAGTAATCATTTCTCTCTGACCAAATTTTAGGATATTATTTCATTTTATAGCATCTGTACACTCAATGTATTGGGCATAGTAGTTTGTATCCATTAGATTTGTTTGATATGCTATTTTTTAAGCATTATATATCTTTACTACAGTCATGAGTTCTAATTTTTATCTCAAAATATGTAATAATGTCATCTGTCAGTTGAAGTTGATTCCATTGTTTCTAGTATTTTCCTTTTAAGAAATTTAAATTGTACATAACACATTTTGAATTTAGGACAATGAAAGATTGAAGCAAGAGATCTTTGAAAAGAGCAATCGAATAGAAGAACAGAATGACAAGATTAGTGAACTAATTGAACGAAATCAGAGGTAATGACAGGTACGGGGCATTGGCTTGGATGGACAAAAGTGTCTAATATGTAAATGCCCAACTGAAATAGACATGTTTGTTGAGGGAAGTATTTATGTATTTCTGCTGTGTCTGTTTCCTGACATGTGTATTCGATGTTTTGGTAGAAAGAACACACTAGGCCTGTGATATAGAGGCAGTCTTGTGTTTGAATCTCAGATCTGCCTCTTAGTTGCTCTGTGATTGGGTGGGTGTGTTATAGATTTCTGCTCATCATACTTTCCTCATCTGTAAAAGTGGTGCGAATACTTAGAAAACCCAGCTGTTAACTCTTCTCCTTTCTGTGTGGGCTGACTCTCTTTTATCAAGCAGAACTCAACTAGAACATTACTGATTTCCATCTAAAACCCAAGCACTTTGTGGTTTTTGTGGATACTTCTAAAGATTTGTGGGGTCATGGGGTGATGTTACAGCACACAGCTTTTCACTCAAAAAATCATTGTCTCATGTTTCTCTTCCACACTGTCTCATGATCCGCATTTGGTAGGTGGGGGCTTTCTTTTCTTTTCCCCTCTTTCCTGTAGCCTTCTTTCTCTTTCCTTCATGTTTCTTCCTCACCACACACCTTTCAATTCCCATCTTTATTATAAAGAACAAATTCACCCTGGCAGGTTCCTGCCTCCAGAGTTGATTAGTGCAGACTGAAGGAAAACAAAATGCTTCCAAATTGTTTTTTGGTACAACTAGAACAATGTTTTGAGGACTGAATGTGCTTTACATTGTGTTTGCCATAACAGGACTAGGTGCTTAATGAAGGTTTTGATTTTTTCCCCTGTTTATTTTACAGATATGTTGAGCAGAGCAACCGGATGATGGAGAAGAGGAACAGCTCACTTCAAACAGCCACAGAAAACACACAGGCAAGAGTTTTGCATGCTGAGCAAGAGAAGGTAAACTAACTGGGGGAGAATAGCACAGGTCAGGACAGGCAGAGCTGAGGTGTGGCCCGATGTGTATACTTGCCAATCACTGTGAAGACAAGTTGAAATACTCCAACATCTTTTAATACATATCCACACTCCAGATTTCTCTTTTACAATATGCTTTGTAATAAATTTACTTAAAAACAATTATTGTTCTTAGTAATCTGATGAAAGTAGGAATCACGTAGCTTATTTGAAGCTAAATTACTCTGTTAATAAAATCAACAGAAAATTTCTGTTGTATTAGGTAACAGATGTTTCTGTTATTTTTAATGAAATTTAAGTTTTCATCTTTGTCAAAGCATGTTAGAGTATTGCTGTTTGGTGTAAGTCATTCCAGAACCAGGAAATTCAGGAAACTACAGTTCCCAGAGTAGTTACAAGGAAAACTCTAGTGGGTCTTGGGTTATGAAAGACATTTTCGGAAGCCCATTCCTCTGCTTACTCCAGAGACATGTTTACTTGGAATTCAGCCTTTCTTGGTTGGGCTGTCACTCCTCAACTTGGAGATCTTGACCCTTTCTTTGATATACTGCTTCTCAGAGGTCTAAGAAATAGTTTATATTTCTGAAAGCATGCACTTGAATGGGATGCATTTTATAAAATGTTCTGCTGCTGATAAGGGTGCCTTACTTATCTCTTATGCCAGTCGTCTTTTGTTCTCTTAGCCATAAAATCAAGGCAAGGAATGCCTTTGCTCTCTCACTTCATCACTCGTGGCTGACTCCCATTGCCTAGATCAGAGTAGGCAGCCTGTGTGACATTGAGTGGTACTGTACCACTTTACCACTCCGCACTAAATGAACTTTTTACCGTTTCCACTTCCTCTGCCTCTGTTGCCTCTCTCCCTTCCTTCCATCAAGTCAATTCCAACTTATAGCCATCCAGTATGTGGTTTCCAAGGCTGTAAATCTTCATAAGAACAGAAAGCTTCATCTTTCTTCTGTGGAGTGGCTGGTGGGTTTGAAATGCCGACCTTGCAGTTAACAGCCCAGTGGTTATCTAGGCCTATAGGGCACACAAATGTATTACTTGATTTGTTTTTTACTATTTAGGGTAAAATGCTTCCTAGGTAGCTTGCTCTAGATCAGTGGTTCTCAAACACTAGCTAGACTACTTCCAAATCGCTTGGGGAGCTTGATTAAATATACATCTCCGACTGAGCTGCTAGAGCTTCTAATTCAGTATGTCTAGCTAATATCTGAATCTGAGCTTTTCATTCTGATGATTCTAATCACTGCTGACTGTATCAGAATCATCAGAATGAGAAAATGTTACTTTCGGTGATTCTAATACACCGCTGATACGGCTCTGCTCTTGTCAGTGATTTGTCAAAATCTGTTCAGGTGGCAGCTGGATACCTGCACTTTTAATGACTTTACCATGTGACTGTCATGTTGAGTATCTCTGTTGTTTGTGTGTGTGTCCCAGTAAAACTTTACAAGGAAGCTTTAAAAAGTTTATGGGAAAATGTTATTATCTTTTAATTCCATTTTTTTCCTCGAACTTTTTGAAGCCCTCTGATAGTTACAGAAATAGGTGGCAGGTTGATTTGCTCCATATGCTAGAAGTTGCCAACCCCTTAACTCATTAAACCACCCAAGTTTTCCATGTTGGTAAACCCCAAAGGTGTCTGGTACAATACATTGAACCCAGTAGAAGTCCTATTTGTAATAGCAAAACCAGTAACAATAATCCTATCAACAATAGCTAACATTTGTCAGACAGGTACCATTCGGTATATAAATCTTCTCAAAGAGTTGGCTGAGTATCATTGTTCTGATGAATAGGTAACCAAGTTGCCACATGTTTCACTACCGTCAGTCACACATCAATATAGTTCTTTAAGTGCTCAATAAACATGTGGTGGTGTTGTTAGGTGCCATCAAGTCAGTACTGACTCATAGCAACTTTGTGCATAACGCAACGAAACACTGCCAGGTCCTACACCTACCTGAAAATCGTTGCTATGCTTGAGCCCATTGCTGCTGCCACTGTGCCAATCCATCTCACTAGGGCTCTTCCTCTTTTTCACTGACCCTCCACTTTACCAAGCATGATGTCCTTTTCCAGGGACGAGTCCTTCCTAATAACATGTCTGAAGTATGAAAGATGAAGTCTGGCCTTGGTTTCTAAGGAGCATTCTGACTGTACTGCTTCCAACAGATTTGTTTGTTCTTTTGGCAGTCCATGGTACTTTTAATATTATTCTCCAACACCATAATGCAGATACATCAGTGAACACATGGTAAATGAAATTAATAATTTTTCTCTATGACAAGATTAGTATCGCCACATAAAAGTGGTTAGAACTGCAAGAACTATTAGAGGTTATCTTATGAACTGAGTGATAGTTTACATGGGAGACTGTTGGCTTTACACCACTGTTTGATTGCAATGATTACAATCTCCTCTGTGCATCATCATTCAACATTATTTGCTTCCATATCCTCTGGTTTTTTTGGGGTGGAGGGGAGGTTGTGGGGGATATACACAAAGACACTCAGGAATATATAGTAATTTAAACAACCAAAGGGCACATTCTGCAAGCCTCCTTCCTGGCCTCCAGCACACAGCCTTTCTCTTTCCATGAATCTATAGAGTCCTCAGCTGTTCCCTCTCTCCATGTCCTCATCTCTGCCTCCAACTCTGGTGTCACTGCTTCTTTGGATAGGGTCCCTCATTCCGCTTGTGCTCTTCTCCTTTGATGGTCCTAGGGTCCTCTGTTTCTGGACTATAAGATTAACTACTCCCCCGATTTTGTTACAAAACTTCTACCTTTACAATTGTGACAGTTGTAATTAGTCATGATAACAATTTCTCACTATGGAATCATAAGAATCTTATCCCTAGCTCATCTCACCAGATGTGTCTAGACAAGATAAAAAAACTATTCAGTGCATACTCTGCCTTCCCCTGCACACTGTTAAACTAAACTCCCTCTTCAAAACTTGTAAGCCAGTTACTTCGTGCCTTTTTCACCCCCTCAGCCTACTCTTTATAGATACCAAAAGAAATTGATTTAAGATACACCCTGTGTTAATACTGCTTCGTTAACATAGCAAAGAAAACCCAGTCTGAAATGGTATTATAACCACAGATAGAGGAGTTACAACATATATTTTGTGAGGGGACACAGTTCATCTAGTTTGACCTTATTTTATACGAGAGCAAAATGAGACCCAGACAGGGTCAAAGACCTGCCCAAAATCTTACTGTCAGCCAACTGTGCTTTTTTGTTTCAAATTGACATCTTTTTGGTGCCACTTTTCCTGCTTCTAATTTGAATGTTTTTTCACTTTTTCTGAACTCTTGGCTCTTTCTGTCTTTGCTTTTCCTAATTCTTCATGTTAACAGCAGAATTTGATGCAGGTTAGGAACCAGGGAGCCATCACATACACTGTTTTGGTGTTTTCCTTTTTCACTTGATATTGCATACTTGCTTTAAAAAAGAAAATGTGATTATATATATGTAATTACATATTATATTTTTCCTGACACTTTAGAAAATACAGATAAGCAGAATTATAAATAGCCCATAGCCCTTCCATGTAGTAATAACCATTGTTAATATGTATTCATCCTTTCACTGTTTTCTCTGTACATGTGTCTAGTTGGCTGAGAGTATCAGTTTTGATGCCTCTGATAGGTTTTTTGTGGAGTCCCTTGGTGGTTCATATGGTTACACATTTGACTCCTTGACTATTAGCTGAAAGGTTGGCCGTTTGAATGCACCCATAGGTGCTGCAGGAGACAGGTTTGGCAGTCTACTTGCAAATGGTCTCAGCCTTGTTATTCTGCACACATGGCATCACCTTGAGTTGAAATAGACTCAGTGACAACTAGAAATTATACCAATAAACTTTTCTAATTAAGCACATTAGGTAAAAAGAGCTTTTGATGGATTTTCCGTTGGTATGACTTCAGAGTGTGTTAAGTTTTTGTAGACAGCCACTCTCCTTGTCCTTTGATGAGAGAGACTGCAAAAATGGCAGGGAGTCTGTGTCTTGACCTCCTCTGAGTACAATGGAAGAATGAGAATCAGATTCTACATCAACCCCAGACTGGTTCCTTTGAGGCCGAGGTCAGGCATTCCTCTGCCCTGCAGCCTTCTTTATCCTGTTCTGACACCACACATCCCTCCCATGGCACTCTACTTCTCTACTGGATTTCATCATCTTTTGCAGTGGCCACACAGAACTCTCAATATTCTGCAATTACGGGGTTGATTAGGGAAGTTAACAAGGTGCAATTCAGGATCAGAAACAACTCAGGATAGAGCAGTTATCTGGTCAGGAGTGCATCTTCTCAGCCTTACCGCAGGCATGACTCTCTCTGGTCCTTAGCCTGTCATCCATAGGACCCTTGGACCTTTACCTTGTCCAAGCAGTTGCTACAAGCTCCTTTAGCTCTGCTGATGAGCACCCAAAGTGCACCCATTGCCACAAGCCAGACTCCTTCCTGAAGGCATTCAGCTTTACTGGTTGCGTGGGCTGGGACCCACTTCTCTGTGTTTCCATGCTACTTCCTCTCTTGCTGCCTCTTATGCCACCACTTTTCCATGCAAGGTTCTTGCACTGCACTCATGGTGTTCTTCCTTGATGGTCCTGGGATTGTCTAACTCTGCTGAGGTGGCTCCTTTGAAGCCAAGCAGCATGGCAAAACTAACCAACCTTCCCACATTAGCTCTGTAGGATAAGCACTAGGCTGTTTACCACAAAGTCAGAAATTCGAGCCCATCAGCCATTCCATGGGAGAAAGAGGAGGCTTTCTGCTCCCATAAGTACTTATAGCCTCAAAAACCCTATACAAGGTTGCTATGAATTGGAACTAACTGGGTGGCACTTAACAACAACTAGCCAGTCATTTGGCAGATGTTACAAAGACTATAGTAGAAGAACCATATTAAGTAAATTCATTGTATCACAATTTGATCAAGAAATATCTTGTACAATTTAGGGCCCTCATTCACTGTACCACAGTGAACATCCATTGCATTTCCTCTTGCCTGGGGTTTATGACCTCTAGTAGTCTTAGCTATTGCGATAGCCTTGTAGGAGCATACAGTTAGTCCAGTTTTCATTAGGCTATTTGAGACAGGACAGTAAACAAAAATTTTTTTTCCACTTGGGTCAGATGAAAACTTCTCATATCATGAAGTTCTAGCTGCGTATAATGTGTATAATGCTTGTGAAAACTTAATGCTGCTAAAAAAGTTAAAACAAGTACTCCAGAGTTCACTCTGAACGTCGTATACATTCTCAGACATTCATTTTTAGCCTACTTCTATTTTATACTTAATTTTAATTTGTTTGATTTCACCACCTATATAAATGTGTCATGTTAAGTGCCATTGAGTCAATTCTGACTCATAGTGACCCTGTATAGGGTTTCTGAGGAGCAGCTAGTGGGTTTGAACTACTGACCTTGTGGTTGGCAGTCCAGTGCTGATCCTACAGCACTACACTAGGAGTCCACCTTTAAAAGGAGATTCAGAATACCAAATTTTAAATGAGAGCTTGAAAACTGATAAAGTCTTTGAAATGAGGCAAGGAATAAAAGCCCCAACCAAACTTACTGCCATTGAGTCAGTTCCAACTCATAGTGACCCTGTGAGACAGAACAGAACTGCTCCCTCGAGTTTCCAGGACTAAGTCTTTACAGGAGTAGACAGCCTCATCTCTGCCCTGTGAAGCTACTGGTGGGTTTGAACTTTCGACCTTGTACTTAGCAGCCCAATATTACCTACCATACCACCAGGATTCCAAAGACAAGGAATAAATAAATTTAAAACTGAAATAGGCACAGTGGAAGCTGTAAGAAGGGCCAAGTGATAGAAAGTAAACAACCGTAAAAATGATTATAGAGTGTGAATAGTTACTAGGCTACTTGGGTTGGAGAAATGAACCAACCCTATAAACGTATATAAATAACCACTGCTGTTGAAAATCAAGACTAATCAGCTGCAGAGTGACTGTGGCCTTTCCTGTCCTTGAATTTCTCTTACATTGTATTGGAGTATGTCAGTTCAGGTGAACTATGTGTGGACCATGCTTGTAATCATCCATAATGCACATTATATCATAGAGATTTTTCCAGAGAAGTTATTTTAGTGTCCTCAGATGTAACATAAGAATAGCTGGGTCTTTTGGAGTAAAGTTGAACTCCTTTTACCATATAAAACACATTGAGCCATCAAGGATGTTGATGGGTTCCTTTCCTGTATTAGTAGTTCTGTTCTTACAAAAAACCACAAAGCAGTCACTCTTATAAACTGATCTTTACAACAGCACAGTACTAGTAGAAATATACTACTAGGGAGAATTAGGACATTCTGAAACTAATTACCTTTGAAGCATCACTTCATTTAGAGTCTGGTGGGGGTATAGAATGGATCGTGGAGAGGAATCTGATGTCTTGCAAAATCACAGAAGCATTTACTCTCTGATCTAAGAGCTCCACTTTTGGGAACCTAAAGTCATACCTGCACACAAATGAAACAGCATGTGTCCAGGATTGATTATTCATTCATTGGTGGCTTGTTGGAGACTGGAAACAATCCAAGTGTCCAACTTTAGAGATTGGTTGAGTAAACTATGGTTCATTTACATGGTGGAATATCATGCAGCTATTTGAAAAAGAAGAAAGAGGAAGTTCTATATGAACTATAAATTTAGTGTATCTGAGGGTACATCAAAAAGTTCATGGAATTAAAATATAGTTGACTTTTTCCACAAACCTTTGAAGCCTTTTGTATATGAAAAGGGGTACAAATAAGAACCATATTAATTTTTACATAAAAGAAACCAGAGGAAAGATGAAAAAGGATCATATAGTTCCCCATGTAGAGTAAGGGGGAAGGAGTGGAAGGGAATAGGAATAGGAGCCAGGCTTTTCAGGGTTTACCTTTCTTTATCTTTTTAATTTTTAAGCCATCTAAACATATTACCTTTTCCAAAGCAATTATTTACAAAACTATATAAAATTATTAATTTAGTTTTATATGTCACTGTTGTTGTTAAGTGACATCAAATCAGTTCTGACTCATAGTGGCCCTGTATAGGGTTTCCAAGGCTTTAAATCTTCATGAGAGCAGAAATCTTCATCTTTCTCCTGCTTATGTAATTACTTATTATAAAATATATGCTCATTTATAAATAATTATGTATTATATATGTTATAAAAGGAGTCCTAGGGTGACACTGCCTGTTAATATGCTGGATTGCAAAGTTGGTGTGAACTGCAAGGTCGGCGGTTCAAATTCACCAGCTGCTCCTCATAAACCCTATACAGGGTCGTAATGAGTCAGAACCGATCGATGGCACTTAACAACAGCAACAAATATATTACAAATGGACTGCCTCCTAGTGTGGTACTGTAGGATCAGTATTGGACTGAGAACCACAAGGTCAGCTGTTCAAACCCACCAGCTGCTCCTCAGAAACCCTATAGAGGGTCGCTATGAGTCAGAACCAACTCAGCAGCACCTAACAACAACATATGTTACAAATATATTTACAAATATGCATACATACAGAGTCCTGGTGTGATGCTATAAGATAAGCACTGGACTGCTAACCACTAGATTGGTGGTTCAAAGCCACCAGTCACTCTTTGGAAACTATACAAGATCACGAAGAGTCAAAACCAAAACAGCAAATACAATATACATACACACTATCAGGTAAATAGAAATATAAGCTAAAAAAACCCCACAAAAACAAAAACAAAAACAAACCCATTCCTGTTGAGTCAGTTCTGACTCAGTGACCCTGTGGGGTAGAGTAGAACTGCTCAGAGATTTCCAAGGCTGTCGTCTCCATGGATGCAGATGGCTTCATCTTTCTCCTTCAAAGTGGCTGGAGGGCTCAAACCATTGACCTTTTGGCTAGCCCCAGAGTCCTTAACCATTGTGCCACTATGGCTTCTTGAACAAATCAAAATCAGCAGTTCTTTTTGTAATTAGACTAGCTGCTCTTAAGGAAATAAACATGATATAAATCATTTCAGGAGTCCTGTTGTGGCGCTGTAGAGTAAGCATTGGACCGTTAACTGTAAGGACGGCAGTTCAAATCCACCAGCTACTCCTCAGAAACCGTATACAGATTCACTATGAGTCTGAACTAACTTGGTGGCACTTAACAACAACATGTAATTTCAAGTTCTCTTCTTTACATAAGAAGTGCCCTTTTTATAAAGATAAAATTATATTGGACATGTTATTTGACAGTCTACTTATCCTCTTCATTTGGCAGTAGATTATGATTATCTTCCAGGTCATTCTTCAATGCCATTTTTAATAATTGCGTACATCATAGATATATTTATTGTTGTTAAGTGCCGTCCTTAGGGTTTCTGAGGAACAGCTGTTGAGTTTGAACCGCTGACCTTGCAGTTTAAACCGACCTTGTGATCCAGTGTTTATCCTACAGTGCCACACCAGGACTCCATAGATATTTTATAATTTGCTTAATCTACCCTCATTTTTTCAGGGTTTTCTTTTCCCATTCTTTTACAAGTATGAATAATACTGCAGTGATCATCCTTGTAGTAAACATTTCTAATCTTACATAATGATTTACCAAGGACAAATTTCCCCAAGAGAATTCCTGAGTCATAGTCTTTGCTAATTTTTGTATCAAAAAATAGTTTGATTTCTATTCATTGTAGTTTGAAGATGGCTCCAGTTCCTTTCTGGCATACCAGTTCAGTCAGCACAGTTATGTGAGGTTGGATCGCCACTTAGAGACAAAGACCACACATGTTTTAACTGGTATCATACTTTGTTACCACCTAGGTCAAAGTGACAGAAGAGCTAGCAGCAGCTACAGCACAGGTGTCTCATCTTCAGCTGAAAATGACTGTTCACCAAAAGAAAGAAACGGAGCTGCAAATGCAACTGACAGAAAACCTAAAGGAGACAGATCTCCTCAGGGGACAACTCACCAAACTGCAGGCAAAGCTCTCAGGTTTGTGTTTGAAGGAGGAGGCTGGGATTTTGCCATAGAAACTTAAGGAATTCATTTAGCACAACAGTCATGAAGTTTATGATGAACTGAGCTAAAAATTAAGGTGGATCTGTATAAAGCCTTCAGGACTGGCTTACGTAAAGGACAACTAAAGAACTGATAGTTCATTTAAAACTTATCGGTTGCCACAGTTCTCCTTTGTTTGAGGAAGTTGCTGTAAGTATCTTTGTACTTGTGGTTGGCATCATGCCTAGAAAAGTTAATGTGCTCCTCTAACATGTGGAAATTTAAGAAAGAACTACGAAATGGTGGTTGCCTCTTTCCTAGAAGATGAATTGCAGTTACTCAGGCTCACTTAGGTCTTCCAGCTTGGCCTCCATACACTGTATACATCAGTGCCATACCTCATACTACCCATTCCCTTTGGCTTGTTTTGTTTTATTGTGAATTATGTGATAGTTTACATGGGTGAACCTTAGCTTTACATTCATCCTATCATATATTGTTTCATTGCCATGGTTACAACCCCCTCCATGCATCATCAACCAACCAAAGGGTATACCCTGCAAGCCTGCCCCCCAGTCGTCAGCACACAGCTCCTCTTCCTCTATGGGTCTAGAGTTCACATCCACTCCATATCTCCACGTCATCATCTCTGCCTCCATCTCTGGCATCACTGTTTCTGTGGGTAGGGTCCCGCACTGCACTCTTCCCCCTTGATGGTCCCAGGGACCTCCATTCCTGGACTGCAAAGTCAGTCATTCCCCTCCTTTTGTTACACAACATCTACCTTTATATTTCCAGCCCTTTCAGTCAGTTCTGATAACAATTATTCACTATTGTACTACAAGAGACCTATCCCCATCTCCTTTCATCAGCCCCATCCAGACAGATTGGATACTACTCATTGGAGATTCTATCTTCTTCTATGCCCTCTGGATCTAGGTTCCCTCTTGAAAGCTTGTAAGCCAGTCACTTCTTGCCTTTGTAGCTCCTCATTTTGTGTAGCTAATGTCCAAGTTGCCCATCCCTGTCTACTCTGCGTATGGAGGGGGTGGGCATGATCCTCGCTGTAAAGATTTGTTCACTCCTTTGAGCTGCATCCATAGATGTAGGTCAAGTTCATCAAATTGTATCAGATTACACTTTTTTTCCTTTCTTCTTCTAGTTGAGCTCTGATCATCCAGTCAAATGGGTATTATCTTTCAGTGTGGGTGTCCTTATGCATATGTCCTCTCTTCTTATGAGCTGGATGCTTTACTCTCCACTCCAGTCCTCTCTGGCTATTGTCTTGCTTTTTATCCATGCTGTTCTCTGGACTTGATGTGCCCAACATCACCAATATTTGCTTCTAATTCTCTATGAAATTCTGCCTCTTTTAGAGGATGCTTTCAGGACATTTGATCTCTCCTTCAGAGTCTTTTATCTTAGTACATTATGATGACCATTATTATAGTCATATTTTAATCAGCAGTTTTTAATGTATGTTTTCACCTTTAGAATACAACTTGCTGGAGGGCAGGGATGGTAGCTTGCTCATCTTTGTGAAGTTACTTTCTCCAAAATTAGTGTTAATTTAGTACATTGAGCAAAAGTAGTACTGAAGATACAGTGACTTGAATAGAAGATTATAAAGACCGGCGTGTTGATTTACTCCCCTTAGTGTATGAAAACAAATGTAGAGGGACTAGTGGGCAGTATGAAGCTGGAGCAACAGGAGAGCTGGGAAGCAAAGCTTCCTTGATTAATAGATGTCAGTTGGTGAAGTGATTCCTTGAAGATATGTCCTTACCCTTTTAGAGCATCACCTGGGGCCACATGAGGCCATCTCTGCTTCTGTAATGCCTATGATCATTAGTACCTTAAATAAAATTTTAAAACACTCCAAATAGTTTTCTTTGAGAAGGAATGTTTGTTTGAGAAGGAATATTTTGAAAACAACCTGTAATCTAGGTAGAATGTCTCAATTGCCAAGAAAGTTAACAATACCTTACCTAGGCAGTGAGAAAGGCCCTGGACCATTACCAAAGATCTGTCCCATGCGCTAGGATCCTTGGTAAAATGGATTTGTGGAGATTATCTGTTTATAATGTGGTCTCTGACCCGTTGTGACATTCCTTTCCCATTTTGTATGTGTGGAAGGTGGCACATACAAAGAGATATGAGTTCCTATGGATAAATATGAATTGGTAGGAGAGTTAGTTTGTGGCTTGATAACTCTTATTGCTAATTAGTGAGGCAATTTTACAAGTAAGTGGAGGATACTTTTTAGTGGGATTGGGAAATCACAGCATTGAGCTTTGAAAAAGCTTCTGGATTGATAGCTAGCCCACTGCAGTGCTGTTTCTCCATTAAAATTTGTCTGCTGTTATATCCCAGAGCTCCAAGAAACTTCTGAGCAAGCACAGACAAAATTCAAAAGTGAAAAACAGAGCCGTAAACAACTAGAACTAAAGGTGACATCCCTGGAGGAGGAACTAATTGACCTTCGAGCTGAGAAGGAATCGCTGGAAAAGGTAAGTTCTCCAACCCAAAAACTAACAGGATTCAAGTGGCCAGGCTTAGGTGTTTAATAAACATGTTCTTTTCCTTTTAAATATAATGATATATGCTCATTTTCCCAAGGACATCCTGTAGCATAGTGGTTACAAATCAGGCTGTTAACCTCAGGGTCAGCAGTTCGAAACTACCAGCTATTCTGCAGGAGAAAGATGAGGCTTTCTGCTCCCGTAAAGATTTATAGCCTCAGAAACCCTGTACAGGGTCGCTGTGAGTAAGAACCAACTCCACAGCACATAACAACAACAACTCATTTTCCCAGTCACAAAATGGGCAAAAGGATCTGAATAGCCATTTCACCAAAAAGGACATTCAAATGACCACTGAACACATGAAAAGATGCTCAGTGTCATTAGTCATCAGAGAGGTACAAATTAAAACCCCATGAGATACCTTTACATTCTAACTAGGATGGTTAAGATAAAAGACAAAGTAAAACAATAAAAACAGAAAATAACAAATGTTAGTGAGGATATAGGGCAATTGGAACCTTTGTCCATTGCCGTTGGGAATGATACAGTCGTTGTGGAAAACAGTGTGGTGGTTCCTCAAAAAATGATAGAACTACCATATGACCCAGCAATTTCTTTCCTAGGTAGATACCCAAAAGACTTGGAAGCAGAGACTCAAAAAGAGACTTATGCACCAGTGCATGTTGCAGCACTATTGACAATAGCTCAAAGGTGGAAACAACCTAAATACCCAGAAACAGATGAATGGATAAACAAAATGTGGTACAGACATACAATGGAATACTATTCAGCCAGTAGGAGAAATGAAGTCATGACGCATTCTGTAGTTTAAGTGGAGCTTGAAGACATTATGCTAAGCTCAATGAGTGAATCGCAAAAGGGCAAATATTGTATGATCTCACTTATGTCAAAAAGACAAGAAAAGGTCAACGTATAGAAACCAAAGGTTTATTAGTAGTTACCAGGGACATTGATATAGGGTATTGTTGTACAGTGATTGTAAGATTGTTGTGAAAAGTTGTCTACCTGTGAAAAGTTGAATTCACACACACAAGGTATCTATCTACCTATAGTATTCATGGTAAAAAATACAAATAATACAGAAAAGTATAAAATAAAGAAATTTATCTTTACCCCTCTCTAATGTCATGCCTTGAAGTCCTGGTGTGGCGCTGTGGGTTAATGCACCAGACTGCAAAGCCATTTGAATTGCAAGGTCGGCAGTTTAAGGTCACCAGCTGCTCCTCGGAAACCCTATACAGGGTCGCTATGGGTTGGAATCCACTTGACGTCGCTTAACAACAACGTCATGCCTTAGAAATAACAACAATAAACAATAGATGATGTGTCCTTCCAGATTTGTTTTTTGTGTATATAAAATATACACATATATAGTTATCATTTTTAAATAATGAGAGTGTAGTTGATTTTCTCTTTAACTTACATGTTATGAACATTGTACTTTATAAATACATATAGATCTTGCTCATTCTTTTAAACTACTACGTAGTGGTCTACTGTGAGGCTGTACCATCACTTATGTAATTCTTCACCTGTAAACGGAGATTTCAATTTCCATTGTTTTGCTGCTTCAAACACTGCTGCAGTGGATATCCTTGTACTATTTAACTTCTTTTGCAAGTCTGTTTGAGTATTTCCTATAGGATAGACGCCTTGAAGTAGAATTTCTGGGTCAGAGAGAAGGTTACTCATCTAAATTTTTTATAAATAGGTTGATTATCCTCCTAAAAGAGGTGCTAATTTAAACTTGTAGAGCCATGTGAGCATGCTCATGTTTTGTACCCTTACCTTTGATAAGCAAAGCATTACTTAAGATGAAGAATGAAGTGGGAGGCCTCTGACTTCCTGATCTAATTTTTCTGTACCCATTGTACTCTGAATATATTAGTTTTTCTAATCTTTATTCGTATGATTAGTAAAATATAATCTCTTATTTTAATATATATTTTTATTAGTGGTAAAACTTTCATATATTTAATATCTATCTATTTGTGTTTCTTCTGTGAATTTTCTTTTTAATGTCCTTTGTCCTTTTCCTTATTATAATATTAATTTGTTCTGTAAATACTATTAAGTCCTGGTGTGGCATTGTAGAATAAGCACTAGACCACAAAGTCGGTTTGAACCACAAGGTTGGAGATTCAAACTCACCAGCCACTCTTTGGAAACCCTATACAGTGTCTCTATGAGTCAGAACTGACTCAGTGGCACTTAACATTAAGGGTATTAACTTTGTAGATCATATACTACAAATAATTTTCTAGTGTGCCATCTTTTAACTTTATTGATAATATATATCCCTTTGGTACTACTAGCCCCATTGACCAAAGTGAGGACCTTCCTTACTGTCTTTTTTTATGTTTAAATATGAAAATAATGAACTGTTCCTTGAGGTTTCAATAAAATTCACTCATAATACTACTTGACTACTGGTATCTTTTTTAGAAGGGGTAAATCTTGATCTTTGTTCTCAATTTCTTCTATGAGTTAATTTTTTTAAGCAATTTCCTTTGCTATTTTGCCTGTTTTAAGTTTTCACTGCTTAAGTCACCACTGCAGTGACTATCCCTCGAACACAATCCTTATTATATAATTTGTTGATTTCTTAACATAATTTCCAACTCATAGAATTTTGGGGTGTTCACATTTTAAAGGCTTTCATGGGACTTTCCACCCAGAGAAATTCTAATAATATCTTTTCCTAGCAGCAATATGTGAGTCTTCACTTCCTTGTACCTTCACCAATGTTAAGATGTTTCTTCTCTCTCAATAGAGTGGTAAATAAAGCACTTATTGTTTTCCTTCTACTTTTCGTAATTTTTCTCACCTAGGAACCAAGAATATTAAATATACTGGGTAAAATTAAACCAAAAAAAGTATTTCCAAAAGTAGAGTAAGGACCCAGTGTGATCCTTATAACCACCATCCCCATCATCCCCCTTCATGACTCTAGCTGATGATGGCTCTCTTGTTCCAAAGAACTTGTTAGAAAGGAAAAAGAAGTCAACTCAAGAGCGATGCCAGGCAGAGGAGGAGATGGACGAAATTCGCAAGTCATACCAAGAGGAACTGGACAAACTTCGACAACTCTTGAAAAAGGCTCGGGTATCCACTGACCATGCAGCTGCAGAGCAGGTAATGGGAAACTATGGGAATTCAGAGTTTTGGAAATAAAAGGAAGGTGTAAAAGACTGAGAGAGTGAAAGAAGCTTCTCATTTCTTCTTTATCCTTTTGGGTGACATCTCTGAGTCAATGCTCTTAGTTTAGAAAAACATTGTTGTTAAGAGCTTTCGAGTCAGTTCTGACTCATAGCAACCAGGTATAGGGTTTCCTACGAGCAGCTGGTGAGCTTGCACCACGGACCTTGCGGTTCAAATTGACATTGTGGTCCAGTGAATTCTCCTGCATCACTACACCAAGACTCCTCGGAAGAAGAGCCAGGAATCAAATAGATAATCTCCTTTTCTATTTAAAATTCATTTGATGTTTAAATAACCCATGTCTGATGTTTAATTACTTGTGTTTAATGTCAAGCAAAAAAATGAAAAAAAAAAGTCTATGAAAAATTCCAAAAATGATAAGGCTATTATCCTAAACCACCAGACAGTATTCTTCGGGCATACTTTAGTCCTTGGAAGGAAGGACTTTATATAGGTATGGGGAAAGGAAACCAGGAATAGTGGCAGGACACAGCTGGATCTCTAGACCATTTGAGAAAGGCATAACTTCATATTAGTATGTTAGTTTCTTTTATAATTAGCATGGATTTTACCCTCAGTTTGGTCACCCTGGGGATTTTGACAAAAATAAGTGTACCTCTGTAGTTCAGGTCTGAACTATGAAAAGTAATCATCATATTGTGGTCCTACCTAATGGAGACAGTGACACCTTTGTCTTTGTTCTTTCAGAGCTCTGGTGGCAACAGTGAAATCTTCTTACCTACATTTAAAAAGTGCATTTACTTTTAAACAATTAAGGTTTTTAAATGCATCCCTATTAAATATACTGTTGGCTTCTTATATTTACCTTATGAATGATCGGCTTTCCTAGATGTGACAACAACCCACTGCTTTCTCTTGGCAGTTGTCTCTAGTGCAGACTGAGCTACAGACCCAGTGGGAAGCAAAATGTAAACAGTTGTTGGCCTCAGCCAAGGATGAACACCTGCAACAATATCAGGAGGTGTGTGCACAGAGAGACGCCAACCAGCAAAAGCTGAGACAGCTTCAGGAAAAGGTGGGTGTTTTCCCTGAGCCACACAGCCTAGATAGCCCAGTTATTAAGAGCAAGTAAGTTGTTTGAGTATTAGGAGACACATTTGTGCCTAAAAAATGTTAATAGCTAAAAAACAAAACCACAATTGTTTAACTCTTCAGTCAGCTAACTTTCACATACTTATTTTGAATGTAGCTCAGTGACCTGGAAAAAAAAAAAATAGTACCAGTGTTTTGGAGTATGTGTTGAATTATTATTTGATCCTTTATTTATTAAGTATTACGTTCCACACATTGTGCTTGGGATTGGCCATACAACGATCTTTGTTCTCAAGAACCTCACAGTCAAGAAAGGACAAAGAGAGAAACAAAGTTGTGAGTTAAGTTCAGTGGGGCTCAGAAGTGGAGATGCTGACTGGGAAAGGCTTCCCAGAGGAGATGACATTTGAGCAGAGGCATGAAGGACAAGTAGCTTTGATAAGATGGAGGAGACAGAGGCACTGCAGAAAGTTAGAGAGTATATGTGAGGTCATCAGGCATAAGGTAGAGTTAGAAAAGGACTCAGAGTCATGACATGAAATTCCCCATATCTGGAAGTTAGTTTCATTTATGAAAGTATCCTGTTGAAAACTTTTGACTCAAAGATGGTGGAGTCAGTCTTATTTATAGGTGAAGAAGTTTGTGCTAACACTCATTAGTCATATGTCTGTGAGACTAGAACCACTACTCCTTTCCCCTTGTTTTCATTATATTCTTGACTTGATTAGGAACAAGGCACATGTCTGGAAAGAGGAAGTGAAGTTGTGAGTTGAAATTGAGTGATGAGCAAATAGAACGTTCTGACTTAGTAGACCTGGGGAGGGGCAGAAGGGGTGGCCACCAGGGGACCCATGTGAGATAAAAATTAGTGCTTAGACTGGCTCTCCTCCCCTTGTGTTTACTGGCCTTCCTCTTTAGTCCTTGTTCCTGAGACCACAGCCAGAGTCTTTTTGTTTTGCAGTGCTTAGCTCTCCAGGCCCACGTCACAGCTCTGACAGAGCAGAATGAACAGTACATCAAGGAATTGGAGAATAGCAAGTCCCAAACATCTGGGAATGAAACTACCATTATAATAGACCCCTCAGAGAAGGTGAGCTGGTACTATGAAGAAGCAGCAAACCATAGCATCAAGGGATTGGCGCTGCGGATTAATGCGCTGGACTGGAAAGTTGGTTTGAACTGCAAGGTCGGTGGTTCTAACTCACCAGCCGCTCCTCAGAAACCCTATACAGGGTTGCTATGGGTCGGCAACAACTCAACGGCACTTTAAAACAACAACAACAACAGTTAAGCATTCTGAAAGAATATGATCATGTTGTTGTGTTGATAGTTTTTCTCATTTTAGTGATGTTCCACTTGTCTGACTTAAAAATCAACCCTTTGGCACCTAGTCAACCTGCTGACAAACCCAAAAGGACCCTATAGTTATGGGGTTTTAACAGATGGGAAGTGTCCACATCATAGGAGGGGAATGTGGGCCAGGGAGTATGACCAGCATCCACTAGCCACCAGTCCTCGTAGCCTACGAACTCTCAGTGGTGATTACAGTGGGATAGAGGCATCGGTAAGTGGTCTCTCGGCAGTACTCTCATGATTAGCCTGCCTATCACAGATTGCTACTCATTATTTGACATTGTTCTCTCCACAATGACAACCTTCAGTGCCACAGTTAATGATTAGCTATGTCCCAAGGTAGGGTTTCATTTTAGCCTCCCAGGCTTCTCTGGAATTTAAATGCATTCCATAATGACTTGAATTTGGTACATGTTGATCTTATTTTTCTCTTCATATCTTCACACAGGTCAAGAAGATCATGAACCAGGTGTTCCAGTCTTTGCGAGGAGAGTTTGAGCTAGAGGAGTCTTATAATGGCAGAACTATTCTGGGAACCATCATGAATACGATCAAGGTACAGCCCACTGGTAATTATGTTGTGGAAATGGGTATCTTGTTGCTTAAATACTTTGTAAAGGATCATGAATAGAAAACTGTTCATCAGTAATTACAGTGCCTGGAATGACTTTTATCAGAACAGATATGGTTTGCCTCTTATGACAGGAAGAAACAAAATCATTTGAACTAGAAGATTAGTTTGTGTTGATAAGAACAAAAGAACTAGGAGTGCCTGCTATTTTCCTTTCAGTGATCATATCCTCTTTGGCTTTTGAATAGATGGTGACCCTTCAGTTATTAAACCAGCAGGAGCAAGAAATGGGGGAGAGTAGCAGTGAAGAAGAGGGAGGAGAAAGACCTCAGAGTCCTAACCAAAAGCAGTCAATCACAGCCAATCCTGGACTGCCCGAAAAATCGATCCCATCACCTCAGACCCTCCCTATTCCCCAGAATGCTGTTCAGACAAGGAAAGGGGAAGCTTTGGAATCAGAGATGCTATCAGAGATAAAGGATGATTCCCTCCCAGCCGCACTGGCATGCATTCCATCTCAGAGAGTTCTGGGACCCCCGACTTCAATTCCACCGAAACCTCCAAGCTCTATAACCATGGACCCTGAGTGCGAAGACACACTTGCTACCAGCCCAATGGCAGTTAAGGCAGACAACCCATTGGCAAAGGCCTTTGACAGGGAAGTGGCTCCAGATGGCCCATTGCAAGAAGGCTCCACAAGACCATCCCTGACTTCAGGCCCCAAGAAGGGGGACCCACAGACCTTAGTGCCTGAAAGCCCAGGAGAGCCTCAGCCTCCAGAGCTCAATGAGAAAGAGCACCTCACTAGTTCCCCTGGTCCTTCCAAGGAACTATTGACCACAGAGGCAGGTTCTACAGATCCAGCAGCCACCCTCAGATCCAACCACAGTTCTCAGCATTCCAGGTATGTTAACCTAACCAGAGTATTGGCAACTCATTCTTCAGAGACTCACTCAACTCGTTCATGTGTTTATTCAGAATGCCTACCATGTGCAAGGCTCTGTGATGGAGTGATAAGCAAAGCAGCGAGAGTTCTTGATTTTGAGTCACTTCCTCGGAAACCCTATCTATACAGGGTCGCTATGGGTCGGAACCGACTCGATGGCACATAACAACAACAACAATAGCGATGTGGGTTAATGCATTGGACTGCAAAGTCGGTTTGAACCACAAGGCCGGCAGTTCAAGCTCACCAGCTGCTCCTCAGAAACCCTGTGCAGGGTTGCTATGGGTCAGATCCGACTTGACAGCACTTAATAACAACAGTAGTTTATCAGAAATGACAAATACTTACAAAAGTGTGAAAATGACTTTGAAAAATAAAAAGCAGCAAGGTGCCATAATAGAGATAAGAGAGGACGTAGTTCTCCTTAGGCCGTGTTTTAGTTCTTTGGTGTTGCTATAACAGGAATACCTCAAGTGGATGGCTTTAACAAATCCATTTTCTCACAGTTTAGGGGCTAGAAGTCCAAGTTCAGGCTTTAGGGAAGGCTTTCTCTCTCTATTGATTTTGAGGGGAGTTCCTTGTCTCTTCTGCTTCTGTTTCCTGGTTCCTTGATCTCTATGTGTCTCGACATCTGTCTTATTCTGTCACTCAGTTACCATTTGTTTCATCTTTTATATCTCAAAAAAAAAAAAAAAATTGCTTCACGATACTGCTACACTAATTGAGCCTCATTAATGTAATAAGGACAACACATTCCAAAACGGAAATATAAACATAGGAATAGAAGTTAGGACTTATAACACATAATTCTGAGGCACACAGTTCAATCATAATTCTACCCTTTAAACCAACTGCACCAAGTCAATTCTGACTCATAGCAACCTGTTGTTGTTGTTGTTGTTAAGTACCCCCAGGTTGGTTCTGACTCATAATACCATTGTATAGGGCTTCCAAGGAGTGGCTGGTGACGTTTAACCACCCCCCTTGTGATTCAAACCAACCTTGCGGTCCAGTGCATTATCCTGCAGTGCTATGTTGTTGATGTTGTTGGTACTGACTCATAGTGACCCTGTGTACAACAGAACAAAACACTGCCTGGTCCTGGGCCGTCCTCACAACAGAGTAAAACGGCCCTATAATGTTTTCAAAGCTGGAAACCTTTACAGAAGCAGACTGCTTCATCTTTCTCCAGTGGAGCGGCTGTTTGATTTCAACCACTGATCTCTCAGTTAGCAGGCCAGTCCTTAAGCCACTATGCCACCAGGGCTCCTTTCCATCCTTTGCACACCCCTCGTTCTTCAGAATTCATGTCCTTGCATTACAACACATTTACCCCATTGTATCATCCCAGTGTCTTAAATCAACTCTTAAAGTCTTATCTTGTGAATCATCGGTATGGGTGAGACTTTAGGTGTATTGTATCTTGGTCTGAGAACTTGTCAAATCTGTTTCCAAAGTCCACTGCTGCCACAGGCACAAAATGGACATTTTCATTACAAATGGGAGAAATTGGAGGGAAAGAAGGGATAACAGGCACTAAGCAAGTCCAAGGAGTCCCAGTGTGGTACTGTCAGATAAGCACTGGACTGCAAGGTCGGTTTCAGCATCAAGTTTGGCAGTTCAAACTCACCAGCCACTCCTCTGAAACCCCATACAAGGTTGCTATGAGTCAGGACCAACTTGACAGCACTTCATAACAAACAGCAAGTCCCAAACCCAGCACAACAAATGACGTTAGCTCTCAAGGCTCGAAAATCAGCCTTTCTTCTCTCGAGACCCTCTGGGACCAGTCCCACCCTCCAGACTTTGGGTGTTGGCCGTGCTTTCTGGATTTTGGTTGGAGATTTCGCCCAGGTTTCAGCTTCCAAAGCCCACTCCTGGCAGGTCCTGTTCTTCTGCTCCTTGGGCATGGCATTCCCAATCCCTAGTACAGCTCCACACTGTAGAACCAAGTTTGAAACCTAGGAGACTATGACCTGACCCTTTGAGATCCAGGAGATTGTGACCTCACCCATTGAAACCAAGAGGATCCTGCTTCTTTTGTTCCTTCCAACTGTTCTGCTGATCTCTGAACCGATCTGGGGATGGTCCTTTTTTATTTTTTTGTGAGGGTGAAGTAAGGAGTTAGGGTTAGAGCTAGGACTATGGTTAGGTTTAGACTGGACCTAGGCCTTTGTTTATTTAGGGTATGTTAGGACTAAGGAGCTCTGGTAGTGTAGTGATTACAGAATTGGGCTGTGAACCTCAAGGTCAGTAGTTCAAAACTACCAGCCGTTCTATGGGAGAAAGATGAGGCTTTCTGCTTCCATAAAGATATACAGCCTTGGAAACCCTGTACAGTACAGAGTCGCTATGAGTTGGAACTGACTCCACAGCACATCACCACCACGACCATGTTAGGACTAGGGTTAGCATTAGGGTTGTTGTTGTTGTTGTTGTTGTTGTTGTTTAGTGCCTTCGAGTCGATTCTGACCCATAGTGACTCTGTATAGGGTTTCCAAGGAGCCGCTGGTGAGTTTGAACCACCGACCTTCCAATTCAAACCGACTTTGCAGTCTGACGCATTAGCCCACAGTGCCACACCAGGACTCTAGCATTAGGGTTACGGGTAGGGGTTAAGCAAGGACTAGGAATAGGCTTAGTCTACTGTTAGTTTTACTTAAAAAGAAATTTTTTAATCTACTTGATTTCTTCTTCATTTAAAACTTCTATAACTACATTATTCCCTCTTTTGACTTTGTGAGTTTTGTTTGTTGTTGCAAACTTGTATCCTTGGTTCCCTATTTTCAGTCTTGTAGGTTTATTTTACTTTGGATACATCTATATTTGTGTTGTATTCTGGATAATATTGTCATATATATTAATTTCAGGTTGTTATCTCTGCTCTATCCAGAGAACTCACTTTAGTAATTTTTATAAGGTTGGTCTGGTTTTTACTTGTTTCTGTTTTCTGGAAGTGTCCTTGAATTTCACCATCATATTGAAGGACAATTGTGCTGGCATAGAATTCTTGGTTTGTCATTTTTTTCCTTCAAAGTTTAATGTATGTCATTCTGTTGTCTTTTTGCCTTCAGAGTTTCTGCTGAAAAATCAGAGCTTAGTTTTATTAGTTCTCCTTTGTAGGTAAATTTTCATTTTTCCAAAGCTGTTATCAGGATTCTTTCCTTATCTGAGGTTTTGGCAAGTTTGATTATAGTATGAATTAGTGAATTTCTTTTGGGTTCTATCCTGTTTGGAGTTTGTTCAACTTTTTAAATGCACATCTTATCATCTTTCCATGATGTTAAGGAAGTGTTCTCCCAACAACTCTTAAACAGTTTTCTCTGGGGTTTGTTTTTGTGTTTTTTGTTTTTTTTGTGTGTGTGTTGTTGTTGTTGTCTCTTCTCATTCTGGAATTCAAATCACATTTATTCCTCTTGATGGTGTCCCACATAATTCGTAGGCTTTCTTTGGATTTTTTTCTTCTTCTGATTTTTCGTCTAGCAGAATAGAATTGAGAGATTTGTTTCCAAGCTCATTAATTTTGCCTTCCATTGACTGAGTTCTGCTTCAACCTTCCAATGTATTATCTGACATTTTAGTATTAATCTTCTAGATTTCTATTTGCTATTTTTATATTGTTTCTAATTTTTCATTTAATTTTGTTCATTTGTTCTTGTAGTGTCTTCCCGAATTCTTCTAAAGTTTGTCTGTGTTTTCCTTGATTTCATCTTCAGCTTTCTCAATTGTTCTCTCAATCTGTTGAAGGTCCCTAAATATCATTCCATTGAATTTCTTATCAGTTAGTTCTTACACCATTTCTGGCATTATATTTCCTCACTGTGTATTTTGGTCACTTGTTTGAGGCACTCTGTCTTGTAAGTCTAAATTGTCTGTTATTTCTGAGACATTGTGTTGTCGCTGTATTTATAGTTAATTGATGATTGTATGTTGGTATGTTCTCAGGCACTTACCACCTGTCTCCTGATGAATATGATAGACCGGAAGTGTGTGCGGTTTGCTGTTTGTGTATTGTAGTTTAGGTCAGGTTTGTCTGATGTTAACTTCTGATTATTGTTGATCAGGTGGTACAGGAGTTGCCCAGTGGATGAAGCTGCAGGAGGTACAGATGGGGCAGGATTGTGGACGCACAATTGCTATCTCCCAAAAGCAAGCAACAGCAATAAAGGATTGTTGTTGTTAAGTGCCTTTGAGTGGGTTCTGACTCATAGTGACCCTGTAGAGGGTTTCTGAGGAGCAGCTGATGAACTTGAACTGCTGAGCTTGAAGTTCAAACTGACCTTGCATTCCAGTGCATTAACCCACAGCACCACACCAGAATTCCAGTAAATAAAATTCACAGATCTCCAGACATAGGGGTGGTACACTAGGCGTCCGATTCCAGGCAGAGCAGAGGTTGCACAGGAGAGATGCCATTGGCCCCTGGATAGGTGAAGGCAGGAACTAGCAGCATCCCTGGCTACGAGGAGGGCTCTAGGAACAAGGGAGATGCTCAATCCCCCTCGATGCTAACCTCCAGTCCATGTCCTATGCTTCCAGGCCACTGTATTGATTGAGAGCTGCCTGCAAAAACTCAAGACGGTCTTGCTGTTTCAGGCCAGCTGACAGCCCATGCATCTGCCTCCTCTCTTGCTGCTCCTGCTCTGCTTCCTCTCCCAGTCAGTATTCAGTTCACCTCTCTATCCTGTCCTCTAAAGGTCAGGGTTCCAGGATTATCATCTGTGTCTGTTTCATTTGGTCTCCCATGTCCTTGTTGCAAAGGGATCTACTCAGTATGTGTGTCTACTTCTTGGAGGGCAACAGATGTTTCTTGTTTGGCCTGTTCACTGCCAATAGAATTCCAAGACGCAGATAGTGTTCTTTCCTTTCATTCTTTCTTTGCCTCCTTCATCTAACCTGATGGGTTTTCTACTGTGGTAGTTGGTTAGATCCATCAATCACAGCTTAATCTCTTTAGTAAAACACTGTATAGCCACATCCTTAGTGAGACACATGTCCGTAGTTTGTACAACAGAATTTTCCAAATCTTTAACTTTTATTTTCACTTTGCACAGTTCATTTTTAAGCCATCTCTTTCCTCTCACATTTTACTCTAGTGGCAAGGAGAAACTATGTGGCCCCTCTAAGGTCTTGTTTAGTAGAAATCTCTTTGGCTAAATATCCAAGTTTATCACTGACAAGGTCTACCTTCCACTAAACATTTGAACATAATTTAGACAAGTTATTAAAAGCATCATCCCTTTTCCATTTTCCAATTACATGTTTATCATTTCTATTTTTGAAATAATATTTTACTGAGTTTTTGGAAAAGTTTACACAGCAATTTAGGTTTCCATCTGACATTTCCCACACACGCTGTTCTGTGACATCTCCTTTCAAAGGCTCACCAGAGGCACATTCACTACCTGTTTCTAAAAGCATTCTTTGCCGTCTGTATTCTCTAAGACGAGACTCCCTCTGTAGCTCTTTCCCTTCTTAGCCCTCACCAGAATTACCTTTGACATCCATACTTCTACAGTCTGTTCACAGCAATCTAGGTTTTTATTATTAAATACTTTAAACTCTTCCAACCTCCACCCACTACTCAGTTCCAAATCTGCTTTCATGTTTCAAGTGTCTATTAGAGCAGCACTCCACTCTGCAGTACCGAATGCCATGTTCGTTCTCTGGTGCTGCTGTAATAGAAATACCACAAGTGGGGGCTTTAACAAGCAGATTCATTTTCTCACTGTTGAGGAGCTGAGACGTTTGGATTCAGAGCACTGGCTGCTGACAGCTTTCTCTCTGTTGGCTCTGGTCCTTGTCTCTCAGCTTCTGCTTCCTTGGAAATCTCCAGGTGGCTCAGCTTCTACTGTACCCCATCTCATCTTTGCTCACTTGTTTAATCTCTTTTTTCTCAAAAGATTGTTTCAAGAGCTACTTGATACTAATCCACTCGTTAAACATAACAAAGACAACCTACTCCCAAATGGGATTATAAGCACAAGCTTAATAAAATCCACTACCATGTACTTTGATTCTAGAGGCCATATAGGACAGAGCAGAACTGCTCCTTGTTGTTGTTAAGTGCCGCAGAGTTGATTCCGACCCATAAAGACTCTGTATAGGGTTTCCAAGGAGCAGCTGGTGAGCTTGAACCACCAACCTTGCAGTTCAAATGCCTTTGCAGTCTGATGCCTTAGCCCACTGCGCCACACAGAACGGTAAAGCTATGCAGGAATAGAAAGCTTCATCTCTATTCTGGTAGGTTTGAACCACTCATCTTGTGGTTAGCTTTAGCTTTTCCATTGTGCCACCAGGATTCGCAGTACATTGAGGGGTAGGGGTGGGGACATAATTCAGCCCATCACAGGCAGGGTGGTTGGAGAAGGATTCTGAGAAGGTAATAGTTAAGCTAAGATGTGAGTGAGAAGGGGCTATCAAGAGTGGGAGGACGAAATGGAAGACAGAGCAGCCTGTTCAAAGGCCCTGAAGTGGGAGGGAACGTGGCACATGCAAGGAACTAGAAAAAGGTACACTTCACCAGAGAGCGTTGTAAAATTAAACAACGGCCAAGTCACTTAAAGGGATTTAAACAGAAGAGTGGCATGGTTTACTAGTTTTAGAAGATCGATGTGGCTGTAGGTTATGGAGGGGTCAAGAGGACCAGGAAGGTCAGTGCTGAGTGTGGGAAGAGATGGTGGCAGTGACCACAGAGCTCAGTAACCTTTGAGGCTGGTGTGCACTGTGGCCCTGGAGCAGGAATAACAGTGTTCTCTGTGACTTTCCTTTCAGTCTCTCTGGAGATGAAGACGAGAACCTCTTTAAAGGGGCAGCTCTAAAAGTCCAGAGGCCCAAAGAAGATCCTGAGGACGAGGATGAAGATGAGGTGGTAAGGAAATTTCAGGCCCTGCCAAGTCCTGACACCACCACCTGGGGGCCCTTCCCCACTGGCTCTGAGAAGAACCTCTTGCTGCAGAGAGATGGAGTCTGTTGGTGGCCCACCCCCTGGACTCTGTGTGCAGGGCACTGTGGGAGTAGGTTGGGGGCAGGGAGGGGGCAGCTCTGCAGACATAGTGGGGAGAGTCAGATACCACTTTATTCTTGAAAGAGGATCATAATCTCAGTTCACACAGGGAATGTTCCTATTTTAAGTGAGGAAAAGTTGAGCTGCTTAGTCTTGCATTGGAATGCTACATTCTACATTCTAGAATTTACAATGACTTTGAAGATTTTCTTGTATCACATCCTTATTCATAGACCAAAAAAAAAAAAAAAGAATAGGCGCAGAAAGAATGATTTGCCTAAAGCCACAGAGTGAGTTGCTAGAACTAGGACTAAAGTCCTGGACCACGGCCATTTGTTTCTGAGCATGTTTTGTTTACTCAGTGTGCTTTTCAGTTTGCTATCTTATTTGTCATCACAACACCCCTGGTAGAAAAGTACTGATAGTATAGCTTCGCTTTATAAAACACAAGAGTGAAGGCCAGGAAGGTAAATTGCTGGTAGGTGGATTAGAATCCAGATCCTTGTATCTGCTCTTCCTCATCGTGCTAAATGAAACCTTTCTGTCAGTAGGACTCTGACTGCTGCAGTGGGCGTCCCACTTGAAATGAACACAGACAAGTTTCAAGCTCGGTTTCAAGTCTCAGGGACAGAATATGAGGTTGAACGGGGGCAAATTCTGCCCCCTTGTTTATCAGCCAGAGTGGGTATTGCCATCTGCTGAAACTTTGGGAAAATGATTGTGACAGAGTTTGGGTCCCTTCTGTCCAGGTTCTTTTTGGGGCAGTGTACCAGTTCTTCCTGTTAGCATTTTTCCCCAATAAATACATTTTCTTGTGAGAATCCTGAATATGAATTCTGCATGGGAAAAAAAATTGGTCATCCTAAGTGACTTTGAGTTGGATTTTTTTTTCTTTTCTTTTTTTTAACAGTATACAAGGGGACTTCAAAAAGTTTGTGGGAAAATTCCATTATATTTTAAATTTTCATTTTTCCATGAATTTTTTGAAGCTCCCTCATTAGTATTAATACTATCAAGTTGTTAATAAACTTATTTTCTTGAGTACTCTGAAAACTACTTCACATTCTCATTTAATCCTTTAATAACCCAGTGAAGTAGGTACACACTTAATATCCCATTTTATAAATAAGAGGACTGAGATTCAAGAAGAATAAATAGCATACCCAAGATTCTATAACTTGCAAATGCATAGCAACAACTTTAGCTAGCACAGAAGCTGTCAGCCACACTTTAAAATCCTTTGCTGTCAAAGTTTAGAGATCACTAAAGTGATGCTCCAAGTCTCAGTCAGTGGAGGAGCTGGGATTGGTCTGGGGCTCTTGGTACCATACCATGCTGCCTTCCTATGGCCTAGACTTGTTCCCACGAGAACCTAACCCACTTCTACAGCGTTGATTCTGACACTTAGTGACCTTATAGGATAGAGTACTCCTGCTCCTTAGGACTTCCAAGACTCAACCTGTATGGAAGCAGCCAGCTTCATCATTTTCCCATGGAGCGGCTGGTGGGTTTGAACTGTTGACCTTGTGGTTAGCAGACCAATGCTTAACCTACTATGACCCCAGGGCTTCCAAGCACATTCATATATTTAGTTTGTGCCTATCTCTAGCTTCAATCCCTGCTACCTCTGAGACCTGTTCTCTTGAACTCCATGGCAAAGAGGCCAGAACCTCAAACCATGGCAGGGATCAGAGTCTCTCCATGATAGCCCATCATTTCCTTTATGCTTCTTCTCAGGTAGAAGGGAAAGGGTGAAACCAGTTGAGACCAAGGGTATGGGAGTTTGTGGCTCTAGTGCTTGGGGTTTCTTCTTCTATTGGGAGCCTCTACTTGGAAATGTAGCCAAACCTTCTAAATGCCATTCTCAAAAGATGGGTCATGTCCAGAGCCAGAGAGGTCACCTCAGCCCACAAGAAGTGTTTTCATAGGCATGGTTGTATTCTTCCCAACTCCCTTCACCTCCTTCGTCTTCTCTCCTTCCATAGGGCTGCTTTCCTTCTGTTTCTGTCTCCCCTCTCCCACCTGTCTTTTCCCCACATGAAATGTGTAAGTCACTGCATGAGAGGAAAACCTGTCAAATCAATACTTGTACTTCACAATAAATGCCAAAATTAGCCAAACAAAGTCGGTCTTTTTCTGTGTTGAAAGATTGCCTCTTTCTCTGCATGTTTGCTCGTCTTGATCTGGAAGCCTAGGTTTGCTGGCCTCAGGGCTGGTCCTTTCAGTAAAATCCTGAACCAACAGCCTCCTTTCTGACCTAGAGCCAGGAACAAATGTTGGATGTGTCACCCTATGGAGGCAAGAAGTCTAGCTGGTGCAGGGACAAGTGAGGACTGACTACTCTTTCCTGTTTTGTCAGAGCATGAAGGGACGGCCGCCCCCAACTCCCCTTTTTGGAGATGATGACGATGACGATGACATTGACTGGCTGGGATGAAGACCCAGGAAAACTGATGCCAACATCTCTGTCCTGGACATTCTCTAAGCATGGTTTTGCACAGCAGCTCTGGGTCTAGGCAAGCTAGAGGGTGAGGTACAGATGAGAATTCGGAGGACAGTGGTCAGATACCTGAGCTAGCCTACTTTTGAGCCCCTGCCTGGCTGGCCAGGTGAAGAGGGTGTGCGCCTGTGTCTAGACGCCTGCGTGTTCAGTAGTCTCTGTGGTCCTGCTTCAGTCTCTGTTGGAGGAGGAGCTGCCAGATTCCCTCCTAACCACTTAACCTACATGAGTCCTGCCCTCTTCCACACTATTTACTCTTGTCACAAACTCACTGACCCAGGGAACCTTCCTGTTTCTAAATGTTCAACTGCACCTCAACAACAAGACCTGCCGCCTAGGGTGAGGCCTCCTGGGTAAAACTTAGGGTAAATGACACCATCTAAATCCTACTCAGTTCACAGCCTTCTCTGCGGCCCTGGGACACGTCTTCTTTTCTGCCTTAAATCTGATCCATGTCAGTGAATATTTGAAATGAACAAATTAAAATAAATACCTTACAACGAAACTTGACTCAAGCCCTTGGTTCTAAGGGCTGTGTTATATTTTGGGAATCTAAAGGTAGCAATTGCAATGCAACTGGGTCAATGCATGAGCCTGAAAGCATTGTGACGTAGTTTCTTTGGCACCTTACCCTGGAACTATTCGGCTTTCAGAGTCACCAGTTTCCTGTCCCAGTTCCTAAGTTAAGGTTTCATGCTTAGCTGAAGACCAGTGCTGTAGTGCACTTGTGTTCCTGCTCTCCATTCATTGTCCATCACGGCACCTGTGGGATCTTCTCTACTCCCTCTGAGCTAGGGGCCAAGACTAATGCAGAGAGAAAATATCTGTGCTCATTTTATTTCCAGGGTCTTTCAAAAACCCTATGAAACAATTTTAATAAAAATGTTCTCCAATTTGAAATGTTTTCAAGATAGGAACTTGAATTTTATTGCATGTGCCTGGCTCCCATATATGGGTCAGAACGCAGTTAGAACTCTCATTAATTAAGCTTCTGTCTTAGGCACTACTGCCTAAGTATATTTAATTGCCAAGCAATATTCTAAGTGTTAATTTAAAAAAAGAGGAAAATACCACTTTTGACTTGGCAGATCTGAAGAATGTGGAAATGAGAGCAATGGATTCCCTACTGAGTCTTTGTCACTCTCACTGGAGTATAGATTTTTAAAAGAGCCCTCAGTGCTCGGCTTCAAATGTATCGCCCCATTTAAAGAGATTGTACTAAGAAGGAGAGGTTGCCAATCAACCGTGGACATGCCCATCTCTGTGTGCCCTAGGGAGGGAGCCTTAGCTGGTCAGGGCTTGAGGTGAATGCATGAGGCTCCATCTGAAGACCACACTGAACATTTGAAATCTGACATCTGGGCAACTTTCCAGTTCCCCTCTATGTCAGCCTACATGGGGAGAGTGCACCAGTCAATCCTGAATATATCACATACTCAACTTCCTGTAACATTTCTTGTCATAAATTAAAAAGTGATATTCTATTTTTGCTTCTGCCCTCAGGGTGAAAAAGTAAGTAATAATTATGCCAACACACTTTACAGGCTACATGACAGTTACTTTTCTCATAGTGAGTATCCAACTAATGTTTGTTACATGAACAAAAGAATAACTGTTGACTAAGCTGGGGTTCTGGGATGTCTACTTGTGGGCACAGAGTTTCAGGGCTGGGTTCCCTGAGCAGAGCTGTCATCCTGTCCTTCGTAACATACAGCCTCCCACAGCTCTGCCCTCTCCATGCATACCCCACTCAGCACCTGCAGTTGTAAGGGTTACATGTGTTGGCTGTAGGACTATAAGAAACAGAACAGTCACAGATAATTTAAAAATACATATTTATTGAAACGTGTTTTAATTCCCAAAGCTTATGACCATGTTTTTACCTAGCCCATGAGCTACTTGAGTGTAAATATTACAATATGCAGCAGTGTGATCCTAGATAAGTGCTTTTCCCCACGGTCTCTGCTTCCTTCTCTGTAAGGTGAAGAGGTTCCGATATCAGGAAGGTTCCGTTTAATTATAAAAATAGGGCAGCTTTGGCTTGGCCGCTTATTGCATCTCCAGTCAATACTCCCTGTGGTGTCTTCAGTACTGTAAGTGAATGAATCATGTTGCCCCATCATTGTGGGTGAGCAGTAAACAGAGAACACTGTTAAATATTGTCAAATGCGGTTCTCTGTTCTGCATGAAACCTGTGTATGTAGAGCTTCCCAGACATCTAGGGCCATGAGACCCTCCCTCCTGCAGACAGTACAGTCTGCTGCTGGGAGGAGCTCAATCTGTCAGTCACTCAGGAGCCTTGATCAGAGTCCTACGTCTGCCTTTAATTTGCTAGCATTCATTATGCCCCTTCTAAGATAGGGGGAAAGTGTCTTGGCAGATGCTGCCATTCATCATAAATAAAATAATTTCATTAGAAATTTTGTCTTGTATTAATGTGCAAAATTGCCAACCAGGAGCTCAGTGGGGGAAAAAAATAATCAGTGTTGTCAGTAAGATTCATAGACGAGAATCTTCATGTATTCAAAAGACAGAATGGTAAGAAAAAGGAGCCCCCAAAGACAGAATGGGTCAGAAAGTCCAATGGAAGATGCTCCTTTGAGATAAGGCACAGATCAAGAAAGCAGAAGGTATTCAAGTTCCCTGCCCTTTATCATACAGAACCCACATCACTATCTTGAGGACCTTTGGAAATTCTTCAAAAGTTTTCAGTCTCAGAGGAATCATCAGGGGCTCTGCAACCCTGCCCCAGGTTCTATTCTCTCCTTTCTCCCTTTGGTCACAACAGCTTTCTTAAGGCACAAAAAGACTAGGCTCAGGCCCTAGGCACAATCACTGAGGAGGGGGAGGTAGCTGCAATGGCCTCTGAACTCCAGCGAGCAAGAGCAAGAGCTGGTTTCAGCTGAAAGCTTCCAAAGCTGGGCAGCAAGGTGAAGAACAGGCATCTGAAAAGGCAAGCGAGGGGCTGGAAGTACCCTGGGAAAAAAGGAGCCCGGCTCCCTCCAGCCCTCTGTGCCTGCATGTCTCCCATCAGCTAAGCCATGCTGAGAAGTGGGTAGGCTAGGTAGTAGCCCACAGCTGAGCCCAGGACCACGCCGAGGAAAATCCAGGTGTTGTACGACATAACAGCCAGCATCATGAAGTAGCCAATGACCACCTGAGCGACGTGGATGAGAGACTGGCCAAAGTGACACAAAAACCACCTAGACAAGTAAGAAAATCAAGTTAGTGTTGGTGACAAGCTGGAGGCTGGGAGTTGATTTCAGGGACTAGAAAGAGCAGCTGAGTAATAGAACAGCTTATTAATAATTTGTTTGCTTAACCAAGATCATTTTCTTTTTTATACAGACATATCAGAAGCTATTGATAGAGATAGGAGGGATTTTTATGGGGACTTTTATTGATAGAAAAAGGAGAGGGACTTTTATGAGCCTAGGATAATCACTTTTATCACCACGTTTAGCTCTGAGCTTCCTGGCATCTTAGGTAAAAAGGATATTGATGGGGTATGTAATCTAAATTGGTCTGAGAAGGGAAACTATAAAATTATTAGTTAAGGCAGATTTCCCTGAATCTAAATTATGATGTTTACAAGAATACTGAATATACCCACAGACTGCCAGAAGAACAAACTTGTTTTGAAAGATAGTCAGAATTCTCCTTAGAAGGGATGATGGCGAGCCCTTGACTCGTGTACTTTGGACATGTTATCAGGAGTGACCAGTCTATGGCGTAGAGGGTCAGCGATGAAGAAGACGACCACCCCCTGTGAGAAGGGCTGGAATGTGGTTCACTCTGTTGTACATACACAAGGTTGCTATGATTCGAAACTGACTCGAAGGCATGTGGGAGGCAATGACAATGGAAAGAGCTCGGTCGTTGATGACATTTCATTTCCCAGTTCTGCCACTTACTGTGTCCTAAGGTAAGTGCCTTAACCTCTCTGAATTTCAGTTTCCTCAACAGTAAAATAGGAATAGGACTCATGGTGTGGCATTGTAGGATCAGCACTGGACTGTGAATCACAAGGTCAACAGTTCAAACCCACAAGCCACTCCTTGGAAAGCCTATTACAGAGTTGCTATGAGTCAGAATCTACTTGACCGCACTTAATAAGAATAAAATAGGAATAAGAATTCCTCCTCTACAGGGTAGCTATGAAGATCCGAGATTATCTATGTAAGGTGGCTGGTAATGTAACAGGAAGACTTAGTAAGTACCAGTGAGGCTAGAGCTTGTTATGTGCCATGGAGTCAATACCGACCCATAGCAACCATGTATAGAGTTTCCAAGGAGTGGCTGGTGAGCTTGAACCGCTGATCTTGCGGTTCAAAGGGACCTTGCAGTCTGGCACATTAACCCACAGCACCACACCAGGAGTCCTGACTGTAAAGATCACAGTCCCCTAAAGAAATTGAGTCTGTTAAGTGGCTGTTCACAGAGTTGAGAGCTTTGGACTGGGCATCAGGAGACCTGAGTTTTAGTTCACCTTACCACCCACTACCTGTAAGCATTTTGACAGATCCTAGGCCTTTCCTGAGCCTCAATTTCCTTCCTGTGAAGTAGGGCTAGTGCTCTCTGGGGCCCATCTACTTTTCAGGGTGAAGATGAGGACCCAGTGCCTGTTACCTGAGGCGGGTTCTGCTGTCTGGGAGTAAATCTGAGCCTATCGATTCTCCGTCTGTCTCCTCGATGAACTGCTGCTGGTGGGTGGGGGTTGGCAAGCTTGCCAGTGCCTGGTAGAGCAACTTGACTTTGCCAACCTTGATGCCTTCATACAACACAGCCATGAGGAGGACCACCAACACAGAAAGGGCCATGCCTGTCAAAGGAGCGCCAGTTGCGAGAGCTTGCAGGAGGAACACTCCCTCCCTCCGCAGCCTCCCCTGGGGCCTGGTGGAGTGCCAGAAGGAACCTCCACTCATTTCCTCTGAATCCACTCCATCTGCTTCTCTCTAGCATCTTTTCCCCCGCCCCACGTTCCACTTCTGAACCTCACTGTCCTTTCTCTGTGGGGTTGGCCGGCTGAGTCTGGCTTTGAAATCCAAGAGAAGCTGAATGGAAAAGTCAGGGGCTGCAGGGGAAGCAGAACCATACACCACCACCAGCCTTCCCTCAAGCATCTACACAAATCTCTGTTGTGACTGCTTATTAAAAGATCTTTGATTTATGTATAGCAAAGTCCTATTTACATGTATGTACACAAAAAATGAAAGAACCACTTACAAGGTAGTTTCAGAAAGTTCATGGAAAAGTAAAATTGAAAGATAAAGGAATCTTTCCATGACCTCTTTGAACCCTCCTCGTACAGTAAGGTAGTTAGCACCTGTTGTTGTTGCTAAGTTCCGTCGAGTTGGGATCTGATTCATAGCGACCCTATACAGGGTTTCCAAGGAGCAGCTGATGAGTTGGAACTGCTGGCCTGAACGGCCCACACCGACATTGCAGTTTACCGCATTAACCGGCAGCGCCACACGTTAGAGCCTAGGGAAGCCTAATTTTCTATAGTTTCTACAGTGAGTATTTATTACTTTCACAATAGGAAAGAATCCACTAAGATAGTTTATAGAAAACAGTAAGTGCTTACTAGAGTTGCTATATCAAACGAACTGCTAATTGCTTTTATTTTAGGAGTAAAGGGAATAATGAATAGCCTGGCTATGCTATCTTACTGAGCTCCCAAGAAGAAACCGTCTGTAGGTCTACTCAACTCCCAGAACCTTGAGAGAGAATAATAAAAATGACTTTTGTTTTCAGTCACTAAGTTTTGAGGTGATTCGTTATTTAGCAATAGTTAACCACAATAGTTTGACCATACTTTATTTGATCAGCATCTGCAATGATGGTCATTTGTGATACTTTTTAAAATTGTAATTTAGTCATCATAATTTTAATGTCTAACTCCACCTTTTCAAGTCAAAGGAATCCTCTCTTTCCTTTTCAAATTGGAGTCTCATCTGAGCTCCAAGCCTGCAGCAGCTGCTCTGGGCTTCTGCTGATGCTGGACAATGAACCCTGGGTAGGGAGGGGTCAGGAGGCAACATGAGGTCTTGGCCTAGGTTTGGCTCTGATGCTTACTAGTGATTCTGGATGAGTCTTACCCTTCTGGTCTTCCGCTTCTTTTCCTGAAATAGAGGAAGAAGCTATTTTCTGGCCTTCCTGCCTGGGTCTTTGTGAGGATCCGTGAGACAGTGTTGCTGAGAGGCCTTTGCCTACTGAAGACTGGTGGTTGCAAATGGAATTCTGAAGGCAAAGCTCGTGCTCACTGCTTATGCAAAAGGAGTCAGCTCCTTCCCGTGTCCACAGAGCATCGTAGCAAGCAGAGCCTGGGCTCCCACATCTGGGAGCTACCTCCATTCTTACCTGTGGGACTGTGGACATTCCAGAAATTAAATAGAAGCACCACCTCATCTGAGAAGATAAAATGCATCTGAAAGAGAAGGGAATCTGCATCACAGAGGGCTCAGGGCACTCCCTCTGGATTTAAGATCTTGAAGGGCCATTAGAGGTCATCAGGGTCAACTGAGGCCAAAGTCCCAATGTGAGTCAGCAACACAGCTGGAAGGGAGCTAGCTGTGCTCCAGGTAGAAGTAAAGGTGGGGGAGTGTCACCATCACAGGGCCAGCCAAGCTCAGGATGGTGCAGTGGCCTCAGGACCAAGGGCTTATATTACCTTATTTCAGCCTCACAACAATCCTGTGTGACATGGACAATGAAACCCATTTAACAGACAGGAAAACTGTGAGGGATAGCAGGCTCAGAGAAGTTAAGTAAGTTGCCGAAGGCCACAAAGCTAGTGAGTTGGCAGAGCTGGGATTCACACCTGGGTTTACATGATTACCAAGCCTAATGCATTCTAGTATAGGATGCTACCTCCTCAACTCCAAGAGAGGCGGGTAAGATGGGAAGTGAATGGTGATTTTAAATGTCTCCACCAGATTTAATGATTACATTTGGCAAGATTGAGGCCTGATGGGTGGATTAGTGAGTTTACCTCTCAGGGAAGGGCCTATCTAGTCAGCAGGTTCCTCGTCCTCCTCCACCAGAGAAGCTGTTCTACAAACACTGGGCTCACCCAGCTAAGGTAAGATCCTGGAGGAAATGGGGATACACAGCTGGTGGAAGCCTTTGCCTTCTAAGACAAAGGCCAAATATTAGAATCCTCCAAAGTTAGAACCAGAAGTGTCCTTGGAGAAGTCTTAATTTTCTGTCTTTCAATATTTCCCCTGCAAGAACACTACTGAAATAGATTTTTACTTATAACTAACTCCATTATATGGAGTCCTGATGTGGTGCTGTAGGATAAGCACTGAACTGTTACCCACAAGATCAGCAGTTCATACCCATCAGTCACTTCTTAGAAACTCCATACAGGGTCACTGTGAGTAGGAACCAACTCAATGGCACTTAACAACAACTTCATTATACAAAACACAAAACACAGGGCCCTGGGTGGAAAGGGGAGAGATACCCAAACTGCTGTAACTTAACATTTGAAAAAAAACTGACTTGGTCCAACTCTGACCCCCAGTAGTTCCCCTATCTTATTTTCTGATGGGAAATTGAGTCCTAAGACGGGACCAGATTTGCTCAAGACCTCATAGGAAAATGCCTGTTAGCTCTCGACTTGTGTTCAAAGGGAAAGGATGAGGAGAGAAGCTGAGGGTAATCATGAAGTCTGGGTGCTAGTTCAGGCTGGACAGCCTTCAAAGGGTGGGTCAGAAGGGCAGGCAGATTTGCTGCCATTGTGGCAGGAAGCTGTACCACTTAAAACAATGTTTCTCTGCCTGGAAATCAAAGTTACAACAAGCCAAACTTCTCTTTATAGAGGACATTCCCAAACCATGGACAGCCTCCTTACTTTGTTCTAGCCTCCTTACTTTGAAGGTAGGATCACAGTAGATAGTTTGTTGTTAAGTACCGTGGTTTCGGTTCCAACTCATAGTGACCCTGCACAGGGTTTCCGAGGCTGCAAATCTCTATGGGAGCAGAAAGCCTCACCTTTCTCCTGCAGAAGAGCTGGTAGTTTTGAACTGCTGACTGTGAGATTAGCAGCCTGATTCATAACCACTGCGCTACCAGAGCTCCTTTAGTTGTTGGTTGGTAAGTGCCTTCAAATCAGTTCCGACCCATAGCGACCCTGCTATAAATCTTCATGGGAGCAGAAAAAGTCTTATCTTTCTCCCTCAGAACAGCTGGTAGTTTCAAACTACTGACCCTGCAACTCTCAGCCCAATTCGTAGCCACTACGCTACCACAGAGCTCCTTTTAGTAAAGGATAGTAAATGTCTAGTAACCCTTTGGGTCTGGGAAGAAACTCACCCCCAGGCTCAATTTTCAGCCAAACAACACACAGGTCTATAAAGGGAACAATAACACTGGTTGGGGTGGGGAAGGCGGAGGGGGGCGCACACTTTAGAATGATCAGCCATTTGAAATTGAAATCAAAAGGGCAGCATTTAGCCAAGGACGAAGCTCAGAAGGGTTAGGGAAGGAGGAGACTTGGAAACACAGGAGGAAGTGGGACAAGTGATGTTGGATTGAGAGGACTGCAGTCAATGAAATTCCACAAGATGGACTATTGAATAGGAAACTGATCTGCTCCATAAATCTTCACTCAATTCACAATAAAAAGTGGAATAAAGAGTAAATTGCATCTAGGATTTAGGGTGAGACAGATCTGTAAATTGGGGTCTCTCACACAGTCTCGGATCCTTCCTAGGGCTGCTGGGAGGAAAACACCCGTGAAGCCATCACACAATGGATGTCCCACAAACCCAAGTTTGCTCCGGCTGGTTGGCCGCATTTCTCAAAACATTCTGTGGGGAAGTCACATTAAGAGGTTCTCTGAAAAGTGGATTCTGTGGTCAAGTTAAGTTTGGGGAAATTTGGAATTACAATAAAGTTTAGCAGTTGTCTTTGCTACTTTAGAAACATGTCTGTCTGTTCCTTGCTGAGAGCATCCTATGGAAGACTGTGTCCTGGAAGATCTCTTGGGAAGTATTAGTCTAGAAAAACCTTTTTTTCATATTTGGGAGGAAAATGAAATAAGCTAGTTTTTACTGAGCACTTTGTGCCAGGCATTATTCTAAAAATGTTACTTACATCTTGACTCATTTATAAGAGGAAATTACTCTTCTTAGCCTCATATTATATGGAGAGTTGAAATAACTTGCCAAGGATGCATAGCTAGTATACTGCTTTGGCAGTCTGGCTTCAGATTCTGTGTCCTTAACCATCCTGCCACACAGCCACTCAGGGGGAGCACAGAGAACCCCAGAGGCAGTCGCAGTATGCTCATGGCCACAATGAGTCAGTATCAGTGGAAAGATTAGAACTCAAGTCTTCTTACCAGCCAGTCATTTGACACAGAGGAAAAGAGAAGCACTAAGGAGTTCTGGTAGCGTAGTGGGTTACAAGTTGGGCTGCTAATTGCAAGGTTAGCAGTTCGAATCTACCAGCTGTTTTTCTAGATAAGACTTTCTGCTCCTATAAAGATTTACAGTGTTGGAAAGCCTAGATAGGGTTGCTATGAGTTGGAACTGACTTGATGGCATACCACCACCAAGACAGAGTGCTGGGGTTGAGCTGCAGGATGAGCACTGGATTGCTAACCATAAAGTTGGTGGTTTAAACCCACCAACTGCTCCTCAGAAACTATTGTTGTTGTTAAGTGCTGTACAGTCGACTCCGAACCATAGTGACCCTGTATAGAGTTGCCAAGGAGCAGCTGGTGAGCTTGAACCATCAACCATGCAGTTCAAACGGTTTTGCAGTCTGGTGCATTAACCCACATCGCCACATCAGAAACTCTATTTGGCGTCTTGAGTCAGAACTAACTCCATGGCACTTAACAACAAGATGTGAAGATATGAGTCCACTGTGTTTTGCAATACTAGAAAAGATACTCTAGATGCAACACTGTTTGTTGTGAAGTGCCGTCGAGTCAGTTCCGACCCATAGCGACCCTGTACAGGGTTTCCGAGGCTGTAAATCTATACAGGAGCAGAAAGCCTCATCTTTTTCCCACGGAACAGCTGGTAGTTTCAAACTGCTGACCTTGTAGTTCATAGCCTGATTCGTAATCACTACACTACTGGATGCTAGCATTAACATTTTGGAAAGAAGGTGTGAAAACAGCAGAAAACAAAGATCTAACCACCTTGGAGAAAAGAAGGGAAGGAATTCGGGTGGGGTTGGAATACATGGATCAGCCTCAGAACTAGAGAGTAAGGCAGGAGGAATACAGCTAGAAACCAGGCCAAAAAGACTGAAAGCATGGGGAGGAAGGCACAGGTAGAATACAGGTACAGGTGAGCAGCTGCTGTTCCACCTTCATCTACCAACGCTGAATAAGTTCCAGATGAATTGCTGGCCATAGGGGATTATGCTCCAGCCTGGAAGACCTGGTGTTAGCTTGTCACTGAGGGATGGTCATAAACCCTGCAATAACAAATGGCACAATGAGGAGAGACAGCATGTCTCCTTAGACTCTCCAGGACTCTTATGAAAACTGCAGATTCCTATGCCTCATAACACCCTTAATCAGAATTCAGGATGCAGCCACAAAAAGCAGGGAAGACACAGATTTTATCAAGCCCCATTAAGAGGCTTCTGAGGTTCACTACAGTTTATCGCAGCTTGAACAGCAGCAGCAAAGCTTAGAGGTCAAGGGCACAGAACGAGATGCATAACCTTGAGCTACTGACACACAGCAGGCACTTTCTGGATCTAAGCTCCTATCTGTACAATAGGGGTGGAACACTAGGAACCCTTTGCCTTGGTTTGGCCTCGCTCTTAGCCACTGAAATCTACTGCCGTCAAGTCAGTTCTGACTCAGCAACTCTCTAGGACACAGTAGAACTGCCCCCTAGGGCTTCCAAGGCTGTAAATCTTTACGGAAGCAGACTGCCTCATCTTTCTTCCACTGGTAGACTTGAATCACGGACCTTGCAGTTAGCAACCCAGTGCCTAACCCACACCACCACCAGGTCTCCTGCAGGCATTAAATTGGTGCAGGCAGGCTGAGCTCCACTCCTATCATAAAAGACAAAATAAAGGCCTTGAGTCCAAAAGTGATTGTGCTTCTGGGTTGGGTGGGGGACTTCACTCATGTATCTGTTCAATCCCTGAGTTCAGACGTGAACAGTGCAACTCTGGGCTTACTTTCTGTTGTTGTTGAGTGCTAAGTCAATTCCAACTCATAGCAGCTGGTGTGACATAGTAGAAATGTCCCATAAGGTTTTTCTTGGCTGTTATCTCTGGTAGCGTAGTGATTACGAATCGGGCTGCAAACCTTAAGGTCAGCAGTTCGAAACTACCAGTGGTTCCTCCGGAGAAAGATGAGGCAGTCTGCTCTCATAAACCCTGTACAGGGGTTGCTATGGGTTGAAATCGACTCAACTGCACTTAACAACAACAACAATCTTT